CTCTCTCTCTCTCTCTCTCTCTCTCTCTCTCTCTCTCTCTCGCTCTCTCTCTCTCCACACACTCTCCACCCTCCTCCGCCCTGCCCCTGCTACGGCCCCCTCGCTGCTGCTGTGCCGTCGTGGTGCTGCTGCGGTTCGTTTTGATGATAACTCGACGTGCTGGTTGGGGCTTGGGCCCCGGCCAAAGCAAGGCGGGCGGACTGCTGCGAGCCACCAGCACAGCACTCCAGGCCCGGTCGCTAGGACGGGCGGGCGGAGGCGGACGCCGCGCGGGCTAGCCGCAGATCGCACGGGTTTGGTTCCGCAAAGGAAGGCCTTCTTGTTTCGCGGGCGAAATTATCGGTCTGAACGCCGAGACTCATTCGCCTCCCCGCCAAATGTATTGCTCACCGCCGCAACAGCGTGCCTCGTATGCAAAAGAGAAACGATAGGGGAGGGTGGCGGTGCGGGGCGCGGGGCGCGGGGAGGGGCATCAGCAAACATAAGAAAGCGGTTGCTGGCACAGTGCTTTACGCTCAGGGCCTGACACCGCTATTTACTGCATATTATTCCAGAGAACGCAAGCAGAGGCGGCGGCCATAGCGCTGCGGCAGAGTGCTCTGCGCTGTGCCATGCTGTGCGAAGCCTGCCGGAGCCTGGCGGTGTGGCTCGCCGGGGCTGTGTTTAGGAGAAAGAGAGAAGAAGAAAGCAAGTCCCGCCCCCCCCCCTTCCCCCCTCTTCTTTTCGCTGCTGTTTCACTCATTTTCACTCTCATTCGATCCGTCTTTCTCGTGGAACGAGTGACAAACCCAGTCAGATATATCATCTCTTAAAAACGTCTAAAATACATCTAAAGGTCTAGTTTTCAACCATTTAGCCGTCTAGATTTCCGGCTGGGAAAGACAATGTCAGGCGTGACAGGGGGGGATACAATATTGCTTGCCTACATACCAGGTGATACCAAGTGGCTGATTCACGCCGCTCACTTTCAAAGTTATACTGCACCACATGCACGCTTGCGGGCGGGTTTGCCTATGCTCGCTGGCCACGGCTCCTTATGGCTCCGTGCGAGTAGGCAACCCGCCAGCCCACGTGCATGCGCATGCAATACCGCCGGTAGTACAGTATAACTGCCACCTGGTACAGGGGCTTTGTCGCCTACCTTTCAGGCACCTCACTAGAGGCCACCTGGGGGAGTGGGGGGCAGCCCCCGGAACCCCCCGCAAGGAGATGGCAGTTGTGAGAGTCAAGCTTGGGTGACTGTTACTATAATGACAACGACAAAAACCAAAACACGGTTGAACAGAGTGCTGACATCGCTGGTATTCTAGTCTAGCGTGATCGCTAAATTGTTCGCGCTACACGTTTCACACTCCTATTAAGTCTATCCCCCATTAAATAAAATGTTCGTAAAGAAAATGATCGTAAATCCTCCTTAAATGAAATGTTTCAACATTGAAAAGATGTCGAAACGATGTGACAAGGGGGCTCTCCCCAGTGAGAATTTTTGCCGACGACAGCGTTTTGACATCGTTTTGCACGTCATTATGACGTAAAAGTAGGCCTGAAATCGATGGCTTTTCGACAGTACACGTCGTCTCAACGATTAACGACGTGAAAAACGATGTCCAAACGATGTTGTCGTAAAAATTTCTCACTGGGGATAGGGAACGGCAGAAAGAACGTGAGGGAACGCGAACGCGGTGAAAAGGTAAACGAACTGGTGAACGCGCCAAAAGAGCTAATGGAGAACGCTTTATTCACTGCGGCCGTTCCTTCACGCGTTCGCGGCACGCTCGTTCGTTCTCTCACTTGGTTCCCGAGAAGCCCCCCTGTACATATGTTGTCGGGTTGTGGGTGTCGTGTCGGTGGCGTTTCGATGCCGGAGCGACTTTTCTACGATGTGTCGACAAATTCGTTCAAAAATATCATTTCCCTAGGGATACACATTAAAGGTAAAGGGCCACATTGGTTGTGCGTTTTAAACGCCCCGCCGAGCAACTGATTCCCCTAGTTTTTGTTGCATAGGTATGAGAAATATATAACTCGCATATGAGAAATAAAGAAGTCATCCATTAAAACAAAACAATCCTCAGTCAGTCAGTAGTCAGAAGTGTCGTTGTTCGTTTTCCGAAGTTTACGTCGAATTCTGTCATCCAATTATAGTAAGTTTTTATTTGTAAGTTAATTTTTTCTCGTTTAAGAAATCAAAATAAATTATGATGGTGTTGTGATTACCTTCAGTTCTTTTACCTGTGATCACTCCAACAACTAAGGTTATAGTGACATCTGTTCTCTTCTTTCAGTATTTTGTGTACTCTCCAGTAATATGGTTTTGTTTTCCTTGTTTCAGAACATTTTTAAACAGCTTCAACAATGTCGGAACGTAAAGTACTTAACAAGTACTACCCCCCTGATTTTGACCCCTCCAAGATCCCCCGGATGAAATTGCCAAAAAACAGACAATACACTGTACGTTTAATGGCTCCGTGCAACATGCGATGCAAGACTTGTGGTGAATACATTTACAAAGGAAAGAAGTTCAATGCACGCAAAGAGGATGTGGAGGGTCAAGACTATCTTGGCATCCGCATTTACCGCTTTTACATAAAGTGCACTCGTTGCCTTCAAGAAATCTCATTCAAAACAGATCCTCAAAACACTGACTATGAAATTGAAGCTGGTGCTACAAGAAATTTCATGGCTTTAAAATTGGCTGAAGAACAGGCACAAAGAGAAGAAGATGAAAGGAAAGAAGAAGAAGCAACTAATCCCATGAAGCTGTTAGAGAACCGAACTCAGCAGAGCAAGCAAGAATTAGAACTGCTTGAATCTCTTGAAGAGTTAAAAGACCTCAACAGAAGGCAGCAGTCTATTGATTATGATTCTATGCTTATAAAGTATAATGACAAAGAGGCACTCGCAAGATTGAGACAGAGGCAAGAAGAGGAAGATGAAAAAATGGTCCAGTCAATTTATGGAGGCTCAAATAAAGCTAAAAGAGTTATAGAAGAGGAAATTATAGAGGATGTTGACAATTCAGAAGCATTCCAAGGCTCAGCAAGTGAACCACCAAAGAAACAGCTCAAAACCTCTTCTACTGCATCAAGTTCAAGTGCTGCCCCAGCAGTTAAAGAGAGGGTGAACATTCCTTCTAAAGCAACACCAGCCAGTTGGAACAAAAGTGTAGGTTTGATGAAGAACCACTCAGGTCTTGCAGGCCTTGTACGCAAAAAGGGAAGTGGCGCAACTTCTTTGGAATCAGTCCCAGCCTCAGCTAGTGGCTTAACAAGTATAAACTCCAAAAAGTCCTTATCTGATTCTTCAACAACTTCAACCTCTATGCCCAAAGCGCCACTAGTATCAAGTGGTCTATCTCTGTTAGGTTCATACTCTGGAAGTGAAAGCGAAAGCGACAATTAAGTGGTAATTGTCTTTTAATCGCATGCTTTGTTGGTAAGCGTTGTAAATGCACATTTATGAAAAATTAAATATACAGATCACATGTTATCTTTAATGTTACTTACACATAATAAATCAGGTACAAGTCACAAAATCAATAACTTCAGAATACTTGTCTGAAGAAAAGATTTTTACCACCTCTAATGCATGTACTATACTAAATTAAGACTGCAATAAATATCACAATTATAATTTTTGTCATATGTTACTTACACAGCTCCCAGTTCATTCCTTTATTTCCGTAGTGTTATGATCTTAGGACTCAACTTCTCTGGTGTGAAAACCAGACAATCATATATAGTGAACCGCTATGTACAACAGTTGACCTTCCAATGAGGTCAAACTATAGACAAAAGAAGTTTAACAAATTTGTTAACACCATGATCACACCAAATAGGCAACTAATGCCTAAACATTCAACTATCTAAAATCTAGGTGCACTAAATGTCTAAAGAAGGTTTACATGTCTTAAACCTTATTACAATAAATAGAAAGAATCAGAGTCTCATCTCATGTAGTTTTGGGCCTATACAAAAAAATCACAGGTAAAATAAAATCTTCAATAGTTGGAAGATTGGCAAAAATGAATGTACAAAATCACATAACACAAGCTGAAATCATACATTTGTGTGACAGATCTTTCATTTACCTACACTCCTTGCAAGTAGAGATTACAGGGTTGATATAAATCAATCATGTAGACAAGTTACTTCATGTATAAATATTGAGCACAACTTTCCGTATCAAAGTAAACCAGATCATATCCTTGAAAGGAAAATCCTCATATGCTGAGACAAAAGTCTCCATATATACAAAAATTTTCAAAAGAGCCGCTTTTAGTCTCCTTCTGCTTCTGCAGTTGTCTGCATTTGAGGGAAAAGATCTCCAACAACACCCTCAAGGTCAAGCCTAAAAGATACATCATCTAGAATATTATTTTTAGGAAGAGAAATTATTTTTCTTTTCTTCGAGTGTCCAGCTTCTGTCGAATGGGGATGAGCTCGTCCAATGTGTGTCTTCAGATTGCCTCTCTGAGTAAAGGCATGCTCGCAATGTGGGCATTTGAAAGGGCGCTCACCTGTGTGTCGTTTCATGTGAGCCTTGAGGGCATTTTTTTGGTTAAAAGCTTTCCAGCACTGTGTGCAAGGAAAAGGGCGCTCCCCTGTATGAATTCTAATATGACGTTGAAGCTGACTAGGTTTGGAAAAAACTTTTCCACACACAGAGCACGTGTGAGCTGTTGGGCCTGAAGAGTCACTCTTGCTCTTTAGGCTTTTAACTTTCTTAGTGTTTGGAGGTGCCATGATAATATCACTTATATCAAGGGTCACAAATCCATTTGGATCAATTTCATTCTCTGGATTCGCCTCTGTCACACCATCTAAAATTTGAAATTCAGATCCGTCTATGTTAACTTTTGTGACATCCTGAAATGAAAATAATTATTAGTTTAACTGCTAAGTTACCAAAATACCTGAGGATAATGATTTTTTTTCCCAGTAGATTGAGCAAAAAAACTTACAGAGATGTTTAGATCTGAAAGGACCACACCATTCCCATCCAAAGCTTGATGTATATTAACGATTTGACCATGTTCATCAGTATGAATTTCAAAGTGCATCCCACTGATATCATCAGTTTCCTGCTGTTCACCACATTCCACATGTTCCTGGACTGCATTAATTTCCTCAATTGTGGGCAAAAGGGATGGTAGGTCCTGGTTAGAGGGTACTGAATGCCCTTGATCCATGTCCATGGGCATTACTGGATTTTCAATGTTTTCACACTCATTTCCATTGTCTGTATCACCATTAGCCACAAAATGAACGGTTCCATTTTCTTGGATGACAACATTACCCCCACTCTGAAACTAGAGACCGACACAAAGTTATTGATATTAGCGCTCTAAAAGGTATAGAATGTATTCTTGTATAATGATCAGCACCTGCAATTGCTGTAGAAGTGAATCGTTAATTTGAAGTTGAAGGGGATTTCCATCAAGTGTTCCTCCAGCTGCTAACAAAGCTGCTGTGTCAACTTCCACAACTGAACCATCCTCCTAAATTGAAAATTACCATTAGATAATTATTAACATATAATATATTCACTACCAAAGAAAATCTAGATCAGAAAATTAAGATAACATACCGTTATAATTTGATGAGTAAGAATTTCCTCCATTTCATGACTAGTCTCCTCCTCAGTGATTGAGAGGGCTCGCTGACTTTTACGAGCACGGGAACTATTCCCGCTGTGTGCATGAGACTGAAGGTGAGCTTTACGATGGCCTGACGTTCGAAATCTTAGTGGGCAGAGAGGACACTTAAATGGCTTGGAACCTAGAATCAAATTTTTTGTATTTATTTACTGTATTATTCAATTATTTTTTGCTGTTCAAGATAGTTTTTAGAGCCTCCTCTATATGAAGAGAGAAAAAAAAAATTAACACAGAACAAACCTGTATGTAAACGCATATGCACTTTTAAACTGCCTTTGGTCGAAAACCTTAAATTACAGACATGGCACGCAAACATCTTTGGTAAGTCAGACATGTGTGTCTTTCTATGTGAGTTAAGGGTAGACTTAACAGTAAAGGACCTGTAACAGTGATCACAGCGGAATGGTCTTTCCCCTGTATGAATTCTGACATGGCGCACCAAATCAGAAGGCTTTCGAAAACTTTTGGGGCAAAACTTGCACTTGTTTGCAAATGCTGGTTCCATATCAAATTTCTTTGAGTCCTTAATGAAGAAGAAAGATCAAAAAATCAAAGTAGTTACAGCAAATGCCACAAATATGATAAAGCTAGGTTTGTGTCATACCTCAGTATTTTCATCTCTGTTTACTTCAATAGCCGAAGCAATTAGCATTTTTTCAGAAACACTACCCGCCATGTCAACATCTTGGTTTGCTAAGGCTGAAGTCTGTTCCTCTGAGAAAATAATAGCAGGAATTTTCTTACTAATCCTTTGAGATCTGACAACAATAGGTTCATGGACTTTCAAGTGTTTTCGAAGCTGCAACTGAGTACGAAAAGCTACAGAACACTTGGAGCAAGAGAAGGGCCTGAAAAAGAAGATCAAAAAAGGAGTAAATTAATTAATACGATTCTAACTTTCAAACTTAAGTTCTACAACCATTATAGTGAAACAAACTACTACACATAGATGAAGTTTGTAAAATTAAGATCACCTTCTGTCTGTATGGATAGCCATGTGTCTACTTAATGAGGCAGTTGATGTGAAAGACAGTGAACAGTGTTCACAAACATGACTTTTCTCTCCAGCATGTGTACGAGAGTGTAGCTAAACAGTAAGAAAGATCATATTAAAAACTGATGACTGAGGAATAGATTAGATAATATATTAACACAGAATTTTTTTACTAGACGCACCCTCAACCCATTTGCAGAGCTGAAGCTTCGAGTGCAATATGAACAGGCGTGAGGTCTTGGACTGCTCATGTGGACTGTTCTCATATGTACTTTGAGCTGCGACATTCTTTTAAAGGTGTGTCCACAAACTTCACAACTGTTTATAAAAATTCAACGAATAACAACATTAATAACATTAATAGTATGGAAAATGAAAAGCTGTTTGGGTTTGGCAGAGGAAGTTCAGTTCAGCAATATTTAACTCACGATGTGGAGTTGATGCCAGGCTCTGATGTTGCCGACTCCTCCATGCCCTCAGCAGTCAAAGTTTGCTCTTCTGCATCAGGCAAAGAAAGCTCATGGATGTCTTCCCCAAGCTGATTACTATCCTCATCATTTTGATCTGCTCTTCGACGCTCATTTCCACGTGATTGAGGCAAAATTGCTTCCATATTTGCTGACAAGGTTTCACCTTGTTCAATACCAGTCAGATTTAAATGATCCCCCTTTTAAAATAAAAAGATTGTGAAAACTAGATTAGATTAGAAAGAAATATGAAACAAAAACATACTCACCAAACTACTTACCTGAAGTGTTATGGTGGGGAATGTGCATGCATCATAGGCCTGTTGGTCAAAGGTTTGGGCAAATATTGCTGAGCTTAAGTCACCTGATTCAGACACAAGACCAGATTCCTTGTGTTCATCATGTAAATTAGAACCAACAGGTGCTTCACTGGCAGCTAGATTTGCAGCAGCAACAACATCTTCTGCATGAGCACTACAATACAAATCCAGAATTACTCAGTAGTTCACAAAATTCATCAGGTACAATAGCAGTACAATACAAGTACTTACGCTTCAGAGGCTGTAGCAAAATCAATTACACTAGTATTCTGCTGCACAGAACTATTTACAGTTATCGTGTTGAGAGGCATACTGGATTGATGAGAGGTGTTGATCAGAATTGTATTAGATCCTCCAGATGAAAGCTGCTGGTTTAAGGTGTCTTCTATTTCACGGATACTTTCCTAAGATTTAAAAAAAAAAAAAAAAAAAAAAAAAAGGAAAAGGTTATAATTTTACGACAAAGTATACAAGAACTAATGTAATGAATAATTTAAAAGCTTTGCTGGAGATGGAACAGTGGTGAGACATACCTGAGTTAGAGATGCAGGAAGAGTGATGGTTCCAGATGCATCAGCAAGCAAAGTGTGCGTAATTACACCTCCTGTATGGACCAGTTTGTCTGTAAGTGAAAACATTTTTTTTTTTATTTTTAAGTTTCTATGCATTAGATAATGTAATATTATGTTTGAAATTTGTACCTGTTACACTTTCTTCAAGGTTATCTGATCCACCAAGAGCATTGTTTGAAAAGCCCTGGAAGTTGGGAACAATTATTTCACCCCCGTTAAAGCTGTCTCCAACAGACACAACAAATTGTTGCTCTTGAAGTTCATTTGCTTGCTGAGCTACAGCCTGAATCCATTAAGAAAGAAAGAAAAAGAAAAAAACACTAGAAGAATAATCTGTTTTGTTTTGTTATGGCAATAGGCCGGAACGATGGATTTAACTGATAATGATGATGATCCAACTTTAAAATAAAGATAGATTACTTACGCGAGCTACTTCAACTTTATGGTTTTTGATGTGTTTTTTACATGCCAATTTGTGCTTAAATGTCTTGTGGCAATAGGGACACATAAAAGGTTTGCTATCACTGTGCATGCTCTGATGTCTCTTTAAACTACCTTGAGTGGAAAATGCTGTTGGACATATCTCACATTTGAACGCTTTAACTGCATCATGAGTAAGGATGTGTGTTTTCAGTACACCATTGGATACAAAACTCCTGTAAATAAAGATAGATGTATTACTTTGAAGGGATTTTTGTTGCAATTAATGTGTGCCTTCAGTAGACATCATATCTTACCTAGAACAAATATTGCACTGAAATGGACGTTCTCCACTGTGAATTCTGAGATGGTTGCGCAAATGGTTCTTTTTGCGGAAAGAGGCATTGCACTGATCACAGCTATGAAGCCTTGGTCCAGGCTGTTTATCAGGTTTTATCATTTCAGTTTGAACTAATCCTGGGAATAAAATTAGATTGGTTAGTAGAAAGTTTGACTTTTAAATGTAGGCCCACCTACATTAATTTGACTGTACCTGATTCTGTAATGACAATTGGTTCTCCAAGTAGTACATCTGGAAGATTTTCTCCAGGTTGTAATTCTGATTTTTTTGATTTTCTTCGCCTTTTTTTGGATCCAGTTGAGAGATTTGATTGGGGATCACAGTGCTGTAGCCAATGAGTCTGTCTGTGACCAGATGTCCGGAATGTTCGATTACATACACTACAAGGGAATGGCCTCTCACCATTGTGAAGCCTGACAGATGAAATATATAGATATTACATAGCTGATAGATTACAATGACAATACAAAACAGGTCTACTACCAGTAAACAAGTTATAATACAGTATTATCATAATTTCTTACCTTTGGTGAACTTTAAGACTACTTGTTGTAGAAAAATTTTTGTTACAATCTGGACAAGAGTAATGTTTTAAACCACCATGGGTACGAATATGGGCAGTTAATGTTGATTTCACAGAAAACGCTCGGAAACAATGAGGGCACTAAGAGGAGCAAAACAAATCGTTACACAGTATAATGATATCAAATATTTACATTCATAAATTATACAAAACGCTCATACTTTGAAAGGCTTTTCGTGAGTATGAATACGTATGTGACGGACAAGATCAGATGGCTTTTTGAACTCCTTGCAACAAAATGAACACTGATGCCATCGCACACCTCCAACTTTCCTCTGTCTAATAGTATAGCGCCTAAAAAGTAAATTATAAAATTTTACTAATTGATAATTAAACCCAGAAGAGCTAAGAATGTTCATAATTGTACCTCACTGTTCCATCCAAGGATTTGTCTGCTAAAGTAATGAATCCAGTAACAGCTGTTGCTTTGTCTGCAAAATAAAATAGATAAATTTTCTAAGAAGTTTCACTTTCCTGCAATGTAACGTGGTGTCGTGTTACTACTTACTGGCTGAGACTTCTAGTTCTGGCTTCCCTTCGAGACCACTCTTACTTATAGCTTCTTGAAGAATGTCACTAGAATCAGGCTTTTTGACAGATAAGGGACCTGGGTGTTTTAAAGTTGATGGTGCTGTTTCAGAAACGGAATCTTCCTTTCCTTGATCTTTAATGTTAGGTGTGCTCTGAGTCTCATCACAACTGTTGACTGTCTCCAAAGCAGCTATTTGGGCCATAATTTGGTTAACATTTACTTGCATTATTTGCTCAGAGTTCAGGGTCTCAGTTTTCAATGCCTAAAACAAGTTAAACAGGGATTAATCTTAGGCTTCAAAAGTAGATACTAGATAAAAGTGAATAAAGGTCAACTCACTTTCACATTATCTACTTGACTATGAGCACGCCCCATGTGAGAATTAAGACTACCTAATTTTCTAAAGATACATGGGCATTCACTGCACCTAAATGTTACAGTGCCTTGTTGAGGAATTGAATGGACTCTTTGTATGTGTGCTCGGAGATTACCTGCAAATTTAATTAAGAACAACCAATGAGATAAAAATTGAAATTTTGAATGCTCATAATGGAATTAAAGTAAGTAAACACACCTTTTTGACTAAACTTTGCACTGCAAAAATCACACTCATAAGGTTTCTCGCCATTGTGTTTGGTCATGTGAATTTGCAAAGAGCCCTTTTGGCTAAAGGCTTTACCACAAATATTGCACTAGAGATGATAAAAAGAAAGACAAAGTTAAGAACCTTACTACAAATATAAAAATTGTTGTAAAACACTAGGTATTTTTTCTGATTTATGTTTTACCGGATAAGGTCTTTCTCCAGTGTGGATCCTCATATGACGAACTAACTGACTAGGCTTTTGGAAAACCTTCCCACATGTAGTACACTTGTGAGAAAATTCTGATCTATCTTGAGTACGATCATGTTTTCGACGTACTAATGAATGTTTGACCTGATAATACAATAAACAATACTGAAGTAAAATAAAGAAAAAAACTGGAAAAAATTTCTCAGGGTGTAAACTACCTTGACATGGTCTCGCATGTGCTCTTTCAGAGCTGAAGCCTTTGAAAATTGACGTTGGCACTTCTGACACTCATAAATTTTCTCAACATTTTTTGACACCCACTCATCTTGGTGCTCCATAACATGACTGTCCAATTGGTACTGAAAAAAGAAACAAACCACATCCTCACATCATGACTTTTTCCACGAAAATATGGATTGTTGAGAAATTGGAACAATAAAGTTACCTGCAAAGCGAACTCATCCCCACATTCAGTGCAGAAGAGATTGTCCTCTCTTTCATGGAGCATTAGGTGAGACCTTAAACTTGCAACTCGAGAAAACTCTCTCTGACACTCAGGACATTTGAGTTGTTCTTGATTGTGAGTAGCCATGTGCAATGTGAGATTAGCCTAAAACGTGAAAGTAGACTTGCTATCATAGTTGTAGAACGCAGTATAAACAGTGGATATAATAGATGCAACTTTCCAAATAAATACAGGTTCTGTATTTAAGTTTTGCATTCTAACCTCAACATTATATGAAGCCCCACAAACTTTGCAGCGATGTGGTTTCTCATTGCGATGGCTTTCCTTGTGTCTCTTCAATCTTCCCCAGAGAGCTGCTTCATAGCCACACGTATCACATTTATAAGGTGGCTACAAAATAACGATTTTCAAAACAAAATTTTACAGAGGAGAAAAGATTATTGATCAAGTAGTCTCTCCAATTTAAGTTTTCAGTACCTTTCCTACAGGAGGATCCATTACATCGTCTTGATTGGGGTCACTTTTACGAGGTCTTCCACGGCCTCGTTTTACTTTGGCAGGGTGAATTTCTAGATTGCTAGGATTATCTTGAGAAATTGTAGCTTCAGATGTAAAAATAACAGATTCCTTGAAATCTTCATCTCCACAGCCTTCAACAAATAATTGCTCTTATAACAAGAAGTTTAAAATTTAAATTCATATTAATAGAGTATTACTCTTACCATGAGAAGTTTGAGGGAGAGCTGGTGCCACTACATTTGCTTCAGGAAGGGCACTGTCGGCAGATGCTGCAGTCACGTATGATACAACACCATCTGAGGTAACAATGCTTAATTGGGACATATCAATACACATTCCCTCAGGGAGCAATTTGTTGGCTCCTTGTAACATTTGGCTTGCTCCTTGAATCATACGGCTTTCAAGTTGAAGAATTGTCGAGGAGTTAACATCAATATTATTTTCAGCTACACCTCCATTTTCACCAAGGACTACATTACCAACATTAGTAATGTACGGAAAGTCCATATCCAAACCCAGTATGTTTGATGTTGACTGAAAGTTGTGAAATAGAGTGAAGATAAGAAAATAACATAACATTCTGCATTAAAATTTGTGAAAAATGAAGTGAGACTGGAGAGTCTCATGAAATATACCTGATCAGAAGAGATGGCTTCAGTGCTCGGAGTGATGATTAGCTGGGCTTGACCATCGTCGCTCCCATCTCCTAAAACACTACACTGTCTGGGATCTATCAAGAAGGTATTCCCAGCAGCATTTTTGACAAGAACAGGGCCAACATAGGAATTGTCTTGAAGGAGGTGGACAGGTAAGGACATAAATGTTTGAACTTCTTCACCACCAGCATCTAGAATATACACAAACCCGAATAATAATTGAGTTTCATCTCAGACACAGGGATCCACGAAACTTCAGCAATAACCAACCAGTAGTAATAATGTTTGATAGTGCATCTTGGGTAAATATAATGCCACTGTCCCGAAGAACATCACCAGCGGAGAGAGACAAAACATGTCCACCCAGTACCTCTGCAGGCTCAGCAAGAAGTTGAACAGATTCCATGTTTATGTTCTCCACCTCACTTTGAAAATGAATAAGGTATCAAAGTAATTAGTTACACAAACAACAGTGGTGATAGAAATTGATAAATTACGTAACAAGAACTGACAGTCTGCCATTTGCAAAATTTCCAATGATATAAACAAAGCAAGATATTCCTAGCCATCTCACAGAACAAAAGTACACGATGTGTCAGAGTCGAACTCACCTTAAACGTCAAAGATGTAAACATTAACACCATAACCTCATCAGAAGCCAATGGTCATACAAATCATTGTGATGACATCTAACTCTAACACAAGAAACATCAACATCAAACAGACCCATCAGTAGTAGATTTACACTTAAAGTGTAAAATTTATAAGAAACATAGTGTCTTTCTTTCGCTGTTGAAGGTGAACCGACAATACTTGTTATGGTTCGAACTTCATTATTTTTGAAATAGAAGGTCTACTTTCGAGATCAGGGGTATCATTCCGCCCCTAACCCCTAAGCCAACAATGTAGACCGGCCACACTCCGAAGAGCGCACGTAACAACAGAATAATTATTACAAATGGAGATGTAAAAAATATCTCACTCTAATGCCAGTAGGTAGACTTTATTACGAGAGCACGCCTGTGTGAAGACATTGATTGACACGGAAAAAAAACACGAACTTTTGATACAGGTACAATTGGTTCGTGATGGGGAGTAGGGGAGAACTCAAGAAGATTGCTAGAACCAACAGTACAGCAGGGAGAGGTAGGATGTGTTATGAAAACTTTTGTGTGATAGCTTTGGCGCGTTTCTTTAAAGTGATGTGATTGGGGCCATGAATATGAATTTATTTTTGGTCTACATTCAAGAACTCCATCCATCCTAGTCTACAGCCAATCGCAAGTTCTTCCGGTCTCTAAACAGGCTGATCTCTCCTCAATAATATATATACATAAAATTAAAAACAACTTGGTCAGTACTAATATAAAACTGACACTGAACTCCAACATCCATCATCATAATACAAGAAATTCTAGTAAACTTCGTCAACTCCATCATAAAACTACAACCCACGGGACAAACTCAACATTCAACGTTGCCTTGAAGCTCTACAATTCTATTCCTGTTGAAAACCACAACTATCATTCTCCTAAAAAATTTAAAAAATCTGTGACTAAATTTATTCAACAACAATAGCTTCACCAAATGTAAACTTTATTCATACTTCAATTTCTAAGCATGTATTTAAAAAAAAAATGTATTTCTGTGATGTGCCATGTCACCTCCCAATTTTGGGTATTCAACTATGTACTGTCCCTTCAAATGAGCCTCGGCTCCTGGGACCTATTCAAGCAATAAATAAATAAAAAATAAATAAATAGAAACACATCGATTTATCAAAGATACACAAAAAATGAGTATTGTGTTCACCGAAATTTTATTCTCTATTTATGACCAAGACATAATCAGCTCACTGAGACTGAGAGCCTAGCCAAGGTACTCACAAAAACAAAAAAACAAAAAAACAAAAAACAAACATAGTTTTGTAAGAGGATTGGCAAAAAAAGTTGAAGCAATTACTGAATCATTTTGAAAAAGTATTTAAGTTTATAGGAAGACATAGGAATCATCAAAAATACATCAAATCTGTTGGCCAAAGGCAACACTAGCACTAAACCATTATATACTTCATTGAAGAGCTTTTCACTTATGTATGTGGGTGTTCAATCAGTAAAATCTTAAGAAAAGCACCACTCTATTAAATTTGACCCATGCAAATAGCGATGTTTCCAAGAACTTTTTATTGCCACTCCCAGCCAGAAAAGCAGTATTGTCAAGTAGACGTTGAGTAGAATGGGCTTTCTGGCTGGGCTGTTAGTATAGAAGGGGTGATAGTGATTTACTGAGTGTGTTTTACTTTATAAAAGTTTTGCAATATCTTCTAGATCCAAGACAGGTTTAGTTAATGTTTCTGATGTATCTTCTTCCGAATCAGAACATTTACTGCCACAAGATTCATCATTCTGAAATTTGAATAGGAAAAAATTACAATACATCATCAAATGAAGCCAGAGTCGAGTGCATTTGGTACACAAACTATTAACCTCTTCAATTTTCTTCTTTGGGCCACACTTGCATGCCTTTTTATTGGGTGTATTCCACCGTTGCACCTGGGCAAAAAGCTCGTCAGCCCAATCATCAAAGTGTGAAGAGGAAACAGCAGATGAAAGGTCTGTACTTTCAGCTTTACAAAGTCTAATTGCACCTGATTTATGTAGAAGCTGATCAAGGGCCTGAATCAAGAAGCGAAATAAGTTTGCTTATCTCCATAACTCAAACATGCTTTCAGGTCTGTATTCACCCAATTGTAAGCAAAGAGCCCGGCATAAAGGACACCCCTACTTTTGAGGACCCTGACGTCGTTGTGACCAATATTTGACTTATGATATCATATTGAGTCACAATGACATGAGGATGAGTGCAGAGACACAACTAAATGAGGAACTATTTTAACATTACGGTGACAGCCACTGCTCAAATTCCTTTTTGGGCAATAACAAGTGGAAAGATAATTTTTCTTTTCTTAACACGTTCAGTGCGGCGTGACCCACACCGTGGGTCCCAATAACATGGGATTGCCTAACCCTGCCGCACTCAACATGTTATTAATTAAATGTGAACCTACCTCCACCTTTGATCTGTCGGATGGGAATGATTGAAAAATAAAAACTGTATATTTCATTCCAGTCAAAGGCTTATCACCATCACCAGATGTAAGGCAGCTGATACTTTTATGCAACCAATGTTTTTCGCCATTTAGATCGGAGATGTCGGTCAGAAAAATGCAGAGTGAACCATCAACCTGGAAAAATTACACCACACCAAACGAGATTACAGAGAGTTGATGTAAATTGAATTGAAATGGGACCTAAAATGTGAATACTTACATGATGAGATAAGTCAACTGTCTCAGAATTACAGTCAAGAATTAACTCTGTGGTCACCTTTGCAGCACTCAGCTGACTTGATAAAACTGACGCAAATTCCTAATCAATAATAATAAATAATAAAATAAAAGTAACCACAAAGATGATACAGTTATTTACTTGTAGATGTGTATAAATATACATTACACATGTAACTTAAATGTATGTGTTTACCTGCGCAATATTAGAATGTGTATCAACAAAAACTTTGGCAATTTCAATAACTTTATTTTTGTCACTGCAAGATCCAGATTTCCCATCTTTCTTGCCACAGCAGTTGCTGTTTTCTCCACAACTTTTCTTCTTTTCCCGTGGAGGCTTCTCTTCAGATAATAGAAACGAGTTACCAGGAGATTTGTGCAATTCATCCCTTGAAACTGTGCTTTCCAATCTTTTCTTTGATTTGGATAACATCCAGAACAATAGAACTGAAGCTGCTCCAATCACCAGCGGTACAAATAGTGTCCCACATAAGGGCACACCAAATAAAGAAGTCATGGTTTTTCTTTTAATGTAGTTTAATTTACTTGTACAGATAAGCCAAAATCACAGACGAGACAAAATGGTACTGAGAAACTACGATAGAAAGGTTATGTTTTCGGGCCGTCATGTCAACAAACCCTACTAGAAAATGGCAAAAGTAATATAGACAAATCGGCATACATTCTGCCCTGTCAGTTGTTGGCTTATCCTTTCCAGGCTGACATGGTCAATCACTGACAGGACCGGTGGTAGGAAAATTAGTTGGAAAATTAATACGCAATCGAGTTTCGTGTGTACGTGACTAGAAGATGTAGCCTCATGACGGACAGGCTATTTACCCCGGCCCTGAAAATAATCGTCGACGTCATTATTGAAGGAGGTAATCTGTGAATAAAACTAACGGGCAGGGAAATCCCAAAGCAAGCATCTCCACGCTGCGACTAGGTTTTGCGGTTTTGCTTAATTCAACAATGACCAAATGTTGCGTGGTTTTTTAGATAATGTCTAAACGATCACGTCTACAAATTGGCTTCGATCAATTTTAAATTTTGCTCATGGCTCAGTTCACAGAGCACAGCTCTGTGACCATGACATGACAGTGATTTTTGATTGAACAACTCAAAACACTTTCTAAAGCGTTTAAAAGTTTGGACGTATTCCACACACACTAGAAAGCAATCAACCGGAGACAAATGGCCACATTTTCACCAGTTTCAAAATGCATGGTGCATGCTCTCGCTACTATTAATTGTTGGATATAAGGGAATAAGAATGATACAATACCACTCAATAATATCACAATTCATGACGTTTTTATCAAATTCTCAATCACAAAGAATTGGTAAACATGACAAAAAATTACAATACAACCAAAAACAAAGTTGATAACACTTGAAACCAGGACATAAACAAAATCACAAATCATATCACATATGTATCACCTGTCAAAACTACAACTTACACTACACATTAGGTAATCATTTCACAACACAATAAGTTTTAGCTATGCAGAATAAGTTACTTTCAAAAATAATACATTAAAAAAAGACGAAGCTGTCAAAAACAGAAACTAGGAAACAGGTAACAAGAAAATTTTAACAACCAGCTATCCTTCACAACTTTACAAGACTGCACCTCACAACATAGAGAAAGAATTCTCTGTATCAGACATGGATGAATTAATTTTGATTAGATAACAAGAGATAGGTAATCTGAACAATATTACTGAGAGGCTTGTTCCATCTTAACAAACTTATCATATGAGGAAGTTTTTTAGGTGCCAAGTGCACATGTTGATTAGATTAACAACGGTTCTAAGCTAGAAATAAAATGAGATAGAGAAACTTTTCGGAAAGTAAATAATACTTTTCATTAACACGTTGAGTCCCAGGGGGCCATAAATCACATGCTTTGTGACCATACTTGTGGTCACGTGGGACTCAACGTGTTAATAACCAAAATAATGACGCATTGACTTAGTTACAACCGTTACAACTTCAAACCCATCGCCATGAAGCTATTTAACAGATGTAAAGTAAGTTACAAGAAAAATTAAAATGGTGAGAAGACTGAGCGAGTTGAAAAGCTCCTTGAGTTTGAGGAAATTAACTTGGTTTTTCTACACTAAGTTTTATTAGAACAGTAAGATCATCTATGAACTGACTTTTATGATCAGAATTTAGTAAAACTGAAAATATTTCATGGCGTTTTTCTCTGTCAATTACTTCTGATAGAGCAAAATGCAAAGATTCTCTGGAAAGCATTTCACTTTTGGATAGCACATGACGTAAATTTTGTGCTTGCAAGTAAAATGAGCACACAACATCAGGAGTCAACCGATAAACTAACCAATTAGCTACTTTGTCAATAACTTTTGGTAGAATAAACCGATCAGCAAGTTTCAGAATTTCAAATGCAAAATTTATGTCACGACACCACAAACAGCATAAGCAATGAGTTGGGGCACGCATTAAAGACAAAAGAACAGAGAGATACTCTTCTGACACATCTTTTATAGGCACACAATTTTTCCCGTTTTCATTAAAATTACCAGTAAGCATTGCAGTGAACATAGGAGATTCTTCGCACAGTTCACCCTTCTTCACTGGAACAGTAGCACCATTATCTAACTTCAAAAGAATAAGATCATTACCATCAGCAGCAGAAGATTTTTGAATTAACTTTGAACAGTTACTAGTAGTTCTCCTGCACATTTTTATCTTAAAGGTCTTTGGGACATCTTTTGGCACTGCACCGATTTGCTGAACAAGGTGATTGACACTGTCGGTAGCCTCTACAGACATACCATCACCATATTCGTCTGTCATTAATTGTATAAGAAGATCAAGACCAGTTATAGTATTGATCTTACAGCTAAGCATTTGATGTAGAAGTTTCTTTTTTCTGAAAAAGAGATTAGATAGATAAGATTAAACATTTGTCAGTCTAGAAGTTGGCAAGAGGCAGATCTTTGGTTTCATACCTTATGATGTATGGAATGCTGACAATGAGATGAGACTGGACAGGTCTTGCAGCACACATTAAATTATGCACAATCACACCTTCCCCAAAACCTGATTCAGCTATTACAGAAAGTTGCGACAGTAAAGAATTTCCAAGACTATCAAAATCAAGACAGCGAGAACAGTTGTCGTGAAGCTTTCCTGACAATCTTTTATTTACTTTTAGTACTAGACCAGCTCGCATGAGAGGTAAAAGGCAGTGATGATTCCTAAACAAAGGATGAGCAGAATTAATTCTGAATTATTGCATCAGGCTTTGGTCAGAGAAGAAACTGACCAAAAAATCTTACTACTGTACTATACCTTGTAATGCGTTGAAGAATTCTTGCTGCCCTAGGATGGGGAGGTTCCAGCATAGTGTAGTACTGCAAGAGCGTGTCAACAGTGCTACTGGAAATCATATCATCTACAAGAGAGTCCATGTGTGACACCCTTGACAATAGCAGTAAGCACCAGCTTTCAATCAAACCGTGTCTTGAAGTATTATTTGATGGGAGGTTGGCATTTAAAGCCTCCTGAATATCATCAATATCATCTTTATCTTTTCTGGAATATGGATTTAAAAGGTCACCGATAATAACCATCTCATCATAGATAAACAATCGTAAACTTACAGTGCTGTAATGAAAACTCACAAGCATGGGCTGGTAACTTCACTATCAGAATCAGCATAACAGTCAGCAACAGTTTCAACATCTGTTTCTTCTGGCTTTTCGTCTTCACTACTACTGTAACCACAGACTGGAGAATATGCATCAGAAAGTGGTGATGGAGGAGAAAAATGTGATGCAGGGGACAAAGCAGAGGATGTGGGACTACAGCTTAAATTAAGAAGAGGTGGGCTGTAGGTCCTCATTGTGTCAGGAGAAAATTCCACGCTTCTTGAACTTCCTGGGCTCCACTGACCACCTGGGGACTCAAACCTCATGGATGATGAGGCTATTTCTCGTACTCTGCAAAAAAGCAGCATTAAATTAAGCTCACCAACTTTTAATAAAAAAGGTGTGCTATGATGAAGTCAGAAGATGGCTCACCTAAGTCCAAGAGGGTCTTTGTCATATGAAAAAGAAACACCTTCTTCTTTGCAATTTGATAGACGTATACGCTTGTGATTACTGTCCGCTGAAGCTGATGAATTATTTATGCACGCCTTACTAATTTGACCATTATGTACACTTCCAAGTTGATCTACTGCTTTGATCAGTTTTTTCACTAGCACAGGAACTAGACCATCTTTAATTAAAATCTGTAGATACCAAAAGAACAGTTTAGAATTAAAAAAAGAATTTGTAAATGGGGGATTGAAACACTATGTCATTGTACAGTGAGCACACAGCACCTCAAGACCACATTCATCATATATAAAATGAAGCATTGCATTCAAAGTCCTCGCTTCCAAATTTGGATAAGATTCAAGGCGCAATGTATCCAACAATACTTCTAGTCCACCATTTCTTCGAACTTTACTTCTATTCACAGACTCACGACTAAGAAGACAAAGTATAGAAACAACATCAGAATCTGGAAAGAGAAGAATAAGTAATCAATCAGCAATAGGAAAGTCTCAAACTAAATAAGATTTTACTTTTGATTTTTCCAATTATTTAATTAACTTACAACATTGATGTTTGTTTTTACTATCTGTAAGACTCATAACAGCTTCTATGGCACCTGCAGTTCCCAATAAGGGACGCACCTCAGGTACATAACAAAGGTTTAATATGACACTAACAGGCAGCTCATGTTTAGAACAATTTTTTATAGACGCAATAAGTTCTTCAAACCCTTTACCATCGCCTTGAACCTAGAAATAAAATTTAATGGATCAGTACATATTTTCTGGTTGCCTCAAATTCATAAGATACTAAAATTTTCAGTTATTCTTTTTTTACTTGAAGAGCACAGCGCTCACTACACCGGTGAGTGAAAATTGCTAAAGCCTTCAGAACAGCTTGTAGAAGTTCATCAACAGGTGTGTTCAAAAGACTTGAAATAGTTCGTACAACTTCATCTTGAAGCATTTTGTCTTGGCTGATTTCAGCCTCCCACAGCAATCTATGACAGCCAACACATTACAGATAAATAGTACAAGTTATGACTTAGTAGTGTAAAAGCAAACTATGACAACAGTAATATACCTTAAGGCCCTTACAGCCATCTGTTTAGTACCAGCAGAACTTTCCTTTGACTTTAAAGATTCAATCAGTTTTGGTACAGCGCCTTTCTGATAAAGTTTCACTGCTATATTTTGACTGGTGGCTAAATTACCAATCAAACGACATGCTCGTCCAATGATGCTGTCTTTTTGCATGTGAGATATAAGGCTCAGAATGTGAACAAGTAATCCAGGTTCTTCTGCAACCTAAAAATGAAAAACAGAAAATCTTAAAAATTAGTTTCAGTGAGATTGAAGAAAAGCCATCAACCACTACATTATTAAGGGAAAAACCTCTCTTCATATTTCACTTTTACCTGACACTTAAAGTACTCGTCTAAGCACAAATTGGCTAAAATGCTTAAAGTGGTGTCAAGAATTTTTTCGTTGGGTTTCTTAACAAATCTAAATAGGTATTTTGATCCATTGTTCTTTCTGAACAGCTGGACCCCTGTAGGAGACTTGAGAAGTTTATTTCTGAGTTCCAGAAGACTCCTCAACACAGTTGCTGAAGAAGAGGACTCTAGTTGCTTGAAAATTAAGTTTATACTAGATGTCTCTTGGGATGACATATTTGACAAGACAACTATCAATTCGATTTAATTGTGGTTTAAAATTTAGTGATGTCTTTGCATAAACATAACCTCAAAAGCCGATTATTAAACTCTTTTTCTAAGTTTAACGGGAATTTTCTTCCAAAAAAGCATAGTGCTCGAACAAAAAATTTGAAAGATACTGTGTCAGTGTAATAACTATCGAATTAAAACTTGGTATTAACCAACAAATTCATCAAATTCCAGCTTCAACTTCATGACCAACTTCTTTGATCCGTTTCTAATCAGGAAACCCAACGCTCAGCACGAAAGTCGGTAGCGTGTTAACGAAAAGGAAATGTAAAAACATGAATAACATGTTATCGGCTACTCATTTTAGCTATTTTTAGTTATTATTAATGTTTTCAGATAAAGATTTGGCTCGATTGTTGATGGTAAGTGTGATACATACGGAATTTTGAGATTCAAGTTTTGGTAGTATGTTATGTACTTCAAAGGTTTTCACTTTTATTTTCAACAAAAACCAACCCAATTTTATTTTTCTTTAGAAAAAGAATCAGTGTAATGATTTTGTTTGTTGGAAAGGTCTGAGACGAGCCCTAACAACCTTTACACTTCTTTGACTAGGCAAATTTGATATTAATTGATATTCAACCAGCCGTGAAATTTAAATACAAAACATTTTATTTTTGGAAAGATTGTACATTAATAGATCAAGAGAAAAGACATTTTTCCAAGTGGTAAAATTTTTTATTTTAAAAATTGGAGTTAATAACTCAGCCCATATTTGCTCCCTCCTCCCTGACTAGTGAGAATCTGGCACCAGACAAAACACACAAAAACCATCCCAGAGTTTGTCCCTTAGGAGTTCCCCATATTTCTGTTACTTAAAGTTTAGTCCAAGTACATAACACTAAAAAAATGATATTGACTTGATTCCCTCCAAACTTTTGAATTTCCATAAAACCTGTTGAAATTTTTTTTTTTTTTCAGTTAGTGTTATTTGAAAGGAACATGCTAATTTTGAACAGGCTAACTGTAGTGAATAGTATGAAATAGGCTCCACAATCATCAGGCAGTTGGACATTAGCTTGTCCAAACCAACCAGGGAAGTCATATTCAGCTTAGAACCAGTGAGTTAATGGATAATCTATACATTATCATTTTTATTAGTAGTGCCAAAATTTGCTTTGCAATTTCCTTAGTTATGAAATGAATTGACCATGGGTATAAAGGAAATCACTTTTATCTAATACTGCTCAATGATTCTTTATAGTCAGTTAAAAGACAACAAAATTAGGAAGTTGAAACTCACTTGACACTAACAAAGTTGTCTTATAAGGAAAGGGATTTGGTACTAGACACAAGAAAAGTTCCTGATGCAAATGATTGAAACTAAGTTCGTTGAATATTGCAAAACATTGGCACTTTCCAATAAAGCTAGATCCCAAAATTTAGTCATTGTAGTACGTAAAGCTACACAAACACATAAAATAGGGGGGGGGGGGGGGGGCAAGTACAAAACAGGAAAACTATTCTACAGGAAGCCAGGTACAGTGTTCCCACTCAATGTCTAAATGGGCATTGGGGGTTAACATTCAACATCTGTCAGAAGTTTGAAATGTCTCTTCTAAAATCAGTAACTTTGTGTAACAATTTGGCGATTTCCATAAACATACTTGCACATGAAACAAATATAACACACCATGTAACATCCAGGGAATTAACAAAGATTATCTAAGAGGAACAGTTTGGGGAAAACAGTCAGGAACACAGTTACAACCCTTCGATGGGTCACTATCAACATACGTAATTTCATTTCTTAATTTACAAAATCAGACATTTGATTACTGTTTCTTGGCTTGCTAACAACACTTCAATCTGTGTAACTAAATAAGTGTACAGATATCATTTGATTACAAATCTCAAATCACACAACATTAGTTGCAAAAATTTTAATAAATGTACAGATTGCATTCCATTAATAATCACACAACATTAGTTGCACATCAACATTTTAAAATTAACTATCATTATATACAGAGTGGGAAGGCAAGATATATCCACTCAATGTGTGGGACAAATTTGTATTTGTACAATATGATACAAGATTGGGCATTAATGCTCTATCCGGTATGTCAATGAATCACATAAAAAACTAAACAAAGATAAAATAAATAATATTTAGTCTATATGGTATGTAAAATAATTTCAGAATAAAAATATGGAGATTGCGCCAGGACATGACTCGCTGCTGGACACATTTCATGAGGCTGACTACATTCCCTAAACTGAGATCTCGTAGTTCATGTCATATACACTGGCTCTGTCAGGTGTGGGCGTGGTTCCCCTTCTGTGTTCAGTACGAGGAGTACCAGCAGCATTAGAATTATTTTCCATAGAGTCTGACATTTCTAACGCCCTGACAAATGACATGGGCCTACGGCGAGCATCACATGAGGTAGGTGTGGTCGGAGTTGCCATATTTTTGCGTTTGAGCTGAGGAGATTGTGCAGGAGGTAGCACGGGCACACCACCTCTAACAGGTGGATAGTGTGCTGGTCTATACTGTGGCTGCTGCTGCGATTGCTGTTGCTGCAACTGTTGTTGTTGCTGCTGCTGAGTTGGACTTGTAGGAGTTGATCGATAATAATCATAAGGCCCTGATGGGCCAGGCATGCGAGCCTGCTGTTGCTGCTGATGTGTATAACTGTTGGAAGGCGTATCTTTCCACATATAGACACCGCGCTGTGGAGAGCCAGCTAACTCACGTATATTATCTGAGGTATTGTTAGCTCTTGAGTAAGCAGCAAGTTCTCCCTGCCTCACCAACTCGCCCTCAGATAAGAATCGTCGTTGTGGGCTGCCATAGCCACCTTGACTATAAGCTGAATGAGTATATCCTTGCTGAGGATAATTATTTTGGACATAACCCTGAGGAGGTCCTCCACCTTGGTGAACCATCGGCTGTGACTGGATTTCATAGTACATAGGGGGTGCACCCCCAACACTGATGAAGTCTGGGCGTCTAGCTTGTGTTGGAGTACCGGGATTGGACCTGTCAAAGACAACCAAAATGTAATACACTTTTTTACATAGCCATACATACAAGTTGAACAGACAGAGAGATTAATAATTTATGGTGTCAAGTGGCTGGTAGAGACCATTGTTTTCTTTCTAGATTTTTTTATAAAATCAGAGACGTTCACTCATATGCAACAAAGATCTTTCATCGAGAAGAAAATTGGCTTGCTGTACAAGAGGAGCAATATGTATTACTTTGAAAGTATGCCACGGTTAATAATAAAAGAACAAACATGCTTTGTTTCAGCCAAGAAAGCACCTGCATCTGAGCGGGCATAATAGTAAAAGTATATGAAACAAAACTTACTAAAACAGTAATACAAGCAAACAATATTTTTATAACAAGTAAAAATAGAGAATCACTCAAGAACAAGCGATTCAAATAATCTACATGCAAAAGCAAACAGGAGACTTTTGGCTAGCTCCCTGCACAAAGGATTTTGAAAAGCATTCTATAGCACTATTTGTAGTTGTTCAGTAAAAAAGAAGTCTCTAACGCCTAGTTAGCAATTTAAAACAGTAAGCACCGAAGTGACTAGACATTTCTTTCAAAATTTCTCCCACTACTTTTAGTGTGACCAATTAATTTTATGAAGTTCTTTAAGGAAAATTTGTAAGTTCAAAAATTAATTTGCAATGGATTCCTAGTGGTTAAAGGTAGCTACTTCTAATTTAGAAAATTTAGCAAACACTAGCTGATAATAAAATTTACAAAACAACTATACCAGCAACAATTTTATCCTAACCGTTCAGACCCCAAAATGCCTAGTATACTGCAAATAAAGCAACGATAATTTAAATAATTAAGAGGTGCAGTATTAAGAGCCAGTAATTAGATTCATCCTACTCTTTACATTTTAGGAACTATTTAAATTTGATGAAAAAACAAATCTATGCTGGTATTAAGACAATACACACTTTCAGTCATGATTAAATAATGTCCCCTCTATTCTGAAAAGTCCAGCAAACTCTATCCATTAAAACAGGGGTCCCGGTGAGGCGGTCCGCGGGCCACATTGTTGTCATTCGCGCTCTCTCACTCTTGTAAGTCACCATAAGTCCGTCTCTTTCGACTGGCTAGTGCTGTCGTTATTAGTGACTCCTGAATTGAAAATATTGTTTAAAAGAAACTACCTTTCCGATACGCCTGAAAACGAGCATATGAGGAAGTGTTCCAGCTCTGAACTTGAGAAAAGTTAACCTACTATAATACCCATCACCATTTTGCTACCCAGATATAATACAACTCAAAACATATAAGTATCACAAAACAATGACAAAACACTAGGGTCAGCCAACAATACTCATGTAGCCTTGCAAAAGTCACATTCCTGGAACTTTTGCACATCTCAGAACAGACACCCTGATTAAATAATCTACATGGACACAATGCGAGCATATAAAGCAACATGGCCTCATTGACACAGCCTGCCCAATTGGCGGGCTACTTTTTACCTTTTTTTGAACTGTTCCAAGCTATTGTCACCTGCGAAACATGCCGAAACGATTTACACTCTCAAGAAAAATAAAAATAAAAAGCGAATCAGCCAAAAATTAAATATTGTGTGTCATTAAGGCACATCATTCAAATAGTAAAGTAAAATCACTTATAATGGCCCCTGGTACACTTAAGATTTTTTACAACTTAGCCATAAAAGAAAACTGGAAGAATACTGATTGTTTTGAAAAGAGAAGAGGTACTAAAAAAGGGAAAATAAATATTGGAAGAATGCAGGGAGTAGTCAATTTTTAACTCACCAATACAAACTGCCCATAACCCACACAACTCAAAGAAAACCACCCACCAAGTACTTATTGTAAAACAATTAGAGCATGCCACATACTGAAAATCCTCGTATTTGATCTCATTGCCATCAGAAATACTAAATTACTTCAAATATTTTGATAACCAAATAATGTTAATGAGACATACCTGCGAACAGGGCTGGACATGGCAAGTGGTGTTGCAACTCCAATAGCTTTGACCCTTTGTTGCATTGTAGGACTGGGTGAGAGAGGGTCTGGTGTGTGACTTCTAGATGAAGGCCTTTGGTGCTGCTGTGCTAGCGGATGGGGTGTAGGATGAGGGCTGTTGCGCATTCCATATCCTCCACGTAGTTGCAGAGGATGCCGAGGAGAATCACCTCCTTGTCCAGAGGTGTCCACAGATGGAAGATAAAAGTTGTTTTTTGAACCATGTCGCTGCAAGGGTGGAGTAGGTTCACAGTCCTGAGATTGTGATGCTGTGGGCTCCATGTCAGTGTCTGACCCATCTCGACCCGGCGACAACTGAACACACAAAAATTAAAATTGCATCAGAACAAGTTTACACAGCTAGCCATGGCAACATTAATAGCTAGAAATAAAATTTTGATCTATGATGAGAATTTGCATTATTACATTGCAATACAGGAAAAAACAAACCAAAGGCATTGGACATCTCAAGAACTTATATAGAGGTATGTACTAATAAGAATAACAGCACACAACACCTATAGTTCAATAAGAATTCATTAACACAAGGCAAACTAGCATTGCTACTGCACTTGACACTACTAGAAATGCTCACATAAGCAAGTTTCAGTAAATATCAGATGTTGCCACCACAAATCATCCCACATAAAATTCAAAATGTCCAATTGTCCAAAATGTTTAACTTCAATTGTACTATGGCAAAAAATTCATATACAAAGGGGGCTTTCCTAACCAAGAGAATTCTGGAGAACAAAGCAGAGCAAGCTCAATACAGAATGTCATCACTATTTACTGCATGCATAAAAATTTGAACGGGTTTAAGTTGATAAAGAAAATACAATTGTGTACAGAAATTATTCAGCACTCTTAAAATTGAATTTAGCACGTGAAGTGTGGCCTGACCACAACAGATTTATCACCTTCCAGGCTTTATGATAAGGGTTGAAAACTTGCCACACTACACATGTTAAGCTTTCCAAAGCACCAAAATTTTATGGGCAAATATTTCAAGCTGAGGCATATCTAGACAACACGTCAGATTGACATCTTACAGAATCCAAAGTTGAATGTCCCAGCACCTTGGGTTGCTAGCATTGGAATGAAAATAAGATATAATCAGATAGGAACCTCTGGATAGTCCCTGACAAAAGACTTAATCATTATTTAAATTGTGTTGATCATCAGTCATGAAAAGACGAGACTATCTGGCCTGTACTTTTACAAACGACAGGTGCTCATGTATAATTTGAAAAAGTAACATTTCTTTTATGTTTTTCAAGAGAGGTAATAATGAATATTAAAATTAAGTTGGCAAATTACCTTATTATATGCATTAGAGCTGGGATTTCTTACACCATTGCTGTTGTCCATGTATGTTTTCACTTGATTTTCACCATTTTCAACTGTAGCTATAGTTGGTTGAGCATGCTTTTTCCTTTTGCCAGTATACTTTTTAGGGTGCATAAGACTATAAGAGAGTCAACAGAACCATTACCACAAGTTATCTTATGCAAATACATCATTATATAAGAAGGAATTGACATACCTAGGATACTGTGGTCCACATAATGAATAAAAACAATTACCAAGACAGCCTCGAGAGAAGGGATTATACCCGCCCTTGAATTTTCCAGTTACTTGTTCATTTGTAGTTCGTCCTCTTGCAACAAGCACCATGTGGAATCCCGTGAGACCATATATGGGAATGAATAAAAGGACAATGACACCCATAATGATCATAGAAACAATAACAGATATTTGGTGGAGAGAATTTTTATGGAAAAGAACATATCCTAAGCTGAGTGAAAATATGCTGGCCATATGTGCGCTAAGCGTGACCAAAAAGAAAAAGAAATAACGATAGTTGCGACGGCCAATACAGTTGTTGACCCAAGGGCAGTGATGATCAAATGTCTGTAAAATAAAAGTACACAACTTAATAGGTAATATTTTACCCTCAACAGAGACACAGTGCTGAAATCACAAGTAAATTCTTCAGATATGTATTATGTTGTTGGTGCAAATTTTACTCACATGAATACAATGGTTGCAAACACTACAATGTGAACATCGGGGAGGGCGGTAAAATTTACATGTCACACACCATTTCATCCGAACAGTAATCCCATTTATCTCTATATTTTTATAAAGTGGGGAGCGTAAATCATCGTCTTTGTCTTCGTCAGGAGGGGCTGAAATGTAAAGCAGTTAAATTTACTCATTAGAAGAACAAAGGTAAAAATAATTTAAATTGTGAATAAAGCCTAATATTTTCATACCTTTTGGTATTGCTCCAGGGTCCATAAATGTTGCAAGTGTAAAATTGGCTATCACAAAAAATGTCATAACAGCTTGAAGTGGAGGAATCCATCGCAAATGTTGATAATAATACTGGCACCTGAAAATTACATGTACTTTTGTAATGTCAGGTAAGTAAAAACTAATAAACTAAAATAAGCAGCACATAACACAGTAAATTTATTTGATAAAGCACAAAATGGTTTGAAATTTGACGTTTTGCACTTTGATACAATTTGAAATAAACTTGCAGGTGGCTAAAAAAACTGGGATGAATCACTAACATTGGCTAACATTGATTATGATGAGAAGAAAACCCAGTAATAATAAGAAAATGTGGGATTCGAAATGATAGTGGGCTAGAAATCTTGGCACTCAAAATGGGGCTGTGGACAAGGAAACACCAGCGTACACATGTCAGTGATGTTTTTGTGAATAGAATTTGAGCTAAATTAACAAATGCACTCTCAGGCAGCAAGAGTATTTGGCATTCACTTGAAGTAACAGAGCATATATTCAAACAGTGACAAGAGTGGGAAAAGTTTGAGTGACATATGATGGCACGAATTCGGAACTCGATACGACTGCAATACTTACGGGAAATAGAAGAAGAGAGCTGTTACAACAAGGAGGAGGGTCCAGGCAAAGGTAGCAGGTATGTATCTGGTCTTGAGGTTGCATTTGGGCATTCTGTTGAGGTTTTCTAGTTGTGTGAAATAACCATTAAGTGTTCTGCTAGCTACAAATCAACATGGCCGCTTCGTGGGGTAACAGAACAGACAATCTTTCAGTGAGGACTGGCAACTTCCAATTCACGCTGGGAGCGCAGTTGAGGCATGTCAAATTTCACAGAGAGTACTTCAATCATCGAACACTTGAATATTCTGACTTAATCACTAGGGGCATCTGATAAAAGGAGTGCTAATCCTGCGATTTGCCCGAGAAACGCACACACATCACCGCTCTGTTCCGCACGATCTATCGCACACTTTCGACCGACAGCATCGATAGGAGAAAAAATAACAACTAAAAAAACAACAACTAGAAAAACGAACTAAACTGTTTATGATTTTGTCGCTTCTGTGACTGCTGACTGGTATATTAATGGCTAATATGTAATTTTGACCCTCGTATTTTTTCATCCTTTCTTCTTTCAGATTCATTTCACTGTTTGCCCCATGACTTTGACCGGTTAACACCACCCAGTGGGGGCGTTCTTGACCGGGTTTGCTGCGTTTCCAACATTCGTTGTCAAGTCTTGTGTTGTGTCATGAATTGACCGATGCAAAAGATTAGATTGCGCATGTTATAATCTTTGCACCCTAGGTGGTTGCTTAGTGTTGTTTTTTTCCACGTCCTTAATTATCCGTGAAAATGTCTGGATTTGATGAGAATCCTTTCAGTGAACCAACCCTTGATAATCCCTTTGAGGTAGGTTAATGATTTTTTCTTAAAGTTTTTGATAAATCAAGATAATTCATATGTCGTTGAGGTTGCCTGCTTCTCGTTATCTCTCTTTGTTCACCTTAATTAGCTGGTACATATTGGATCGCAAAGAGTACTAAATTTTTAACGTAACCATTTGTTATTCGGGTATGTTTCATACCTGTTACATTTTGTTGTTAACTGTTATCATATCTAGTTTCTCATCTCTTACTGAATGACATTTTAACTATCATTAGATATTACTGTAACTGGACTACGACACACCTTTAAATTGCCTGGTGCATATTATAATTCAATTCTCATACTAAATGTCAATGACATATGCCAACGGAAACAAGTTGCTAAATTCTGCATTCTTTCAGCATCTTTCCTCACAATTTTCACCTCATTCTCTGAAAGTGTACTGTACAGTTTCAACCCTTCTAAGTTGTAGTCCAGTTCTGCTGAGCTAATGTTCAAAATTATAAATTTTAGGACCCAGCTGTTCGGCAAGTTACTACAACCACAAACAATGCACAGCGTGGTCTTGAGGATTACAACCCTTTTGAGGACCAACGGCCAGGACCGGTATGAAACTATTGTTGTATCACTATTCTCATTTGGAAACATTATCTCAACCACTGTTATTTTCAGGGTGCTGGTGGACCGAAGTTCCCCTCTCCCCCTACTGCCCAGTCAGCCATCATGCAACCCTCTCAGGAAGCACAACCTCCATCATACAACAGAAGTGGACAGCAAACACAATTAACTACTGCAGAGTTCCAGGTCAGTTCAAAGACTATGAAAATAGGTTTTAAACAGGTTTTACCTTTCTCTGTTCGGAGAACAAATACCCGTTTCCTCCATAGGTGTTAAGAACTCAACAATTTTAAAGTGGTTTAGTGAGCTAATAGTTTTTTTTTAAAAATAACTCTTTTCTTAATGTTTTTTTTCTTTTTGTTATTGGTTTCGTTTTTTTAACATAGGAGTTACAGGTAAGATATTCACTTAAATAAAAACAATAACAATATTTTATCTAGATTATATTTATAGTACCTATACTGCTACTGTTAGGGGCATGACAATTACTATCTTAGTTCTTGAAATATGTAGTTTCAGAATTTGAAGCTGAAGAAAGATTTAAATTCTAATCTACAACTCATTTTTTATTTTCACAAACCAATAGACTTTGTTACCAATGTACTCTGAATTTGCCATTGGTCTAACTTGGTATATGTGCATTTCTTTATACAGCGTCGTCAAGAAGAGCTTGAAAGGAAAGCTCAGGAACTGGCAAGAAAAGAAGAAGAATTGAAAAATGCTCCTTACAATGGTAAATGTTTTACACATGCTTTTTTCTTTTTGTTTTTTAATGAATGCCAAGCAACCCAATGATTTACAATTAATCCTCTTGAAACTTTTTAGTCAGAAGAAACAATTGGCCACCGCTTCCAGAGAAATGTTGCTTTCAACCATGCTTTTATCAAGACATTGGTGTGGATATTCCTCATGAATTTCAAAAGATTGTTCAACAGTTGTATTATGCATGGATGTGTACGTATATGAGTTGTAACACAAATCATATGAGATGTTTGGACAATTCTTTTCTATATAATTTAGTCAATTTAGTTTCCTTATCTTTGAATGTATATGTTTTACAGTTCATGGCTGTGTAATGGTCCTTAATATACTGGGAGGCCTGGCTCTCCTTTTCAAAGGTGGTGATTTTGACACATTTGGATTGGCAATTTTGTACATGCTTTTGTTTACACCTATATCATTTCTTTGCTGGTTCAGACCAGCATACAAGGCATTCAGGTAATGGTCAATTTATATTATTTATCTACTAGCCTTTTATTAATACCTTTTTGTGAAATCAAATAGAATAATTTTTGCTCGCTTTTTGCCTTACAGGAGTGACAGTTCCTTCAACTTCATGGTATTTTTCTTTGTTTTCTTCTTTCAACTCGTGGTTACTGTAATCCAAGCAATAGGCCTACCAGGAACAGGAACATGGTATGGATTAAGTATCTGTAACTCGTTGATCAAGTGCATATTTCATCTTATTTAAATGTTATATTTCTAAATTTCAGTGGGATCCTTGTTGCTCTAAAGAACTTTGAAAATTCACCAGCAGGTGTTACAGTTGGCATCATCCTTCTTATTGTGGCATTTGGATTTATGGGTGCTGCCGCTGTAGACATTCTTTTGCTTTCCAAGGTATGTGCTATTTTAAAGCTCCAACTTGCATGTAGTTTTTAAAATTGTTTTTCTGAAAATGTTTTTGTTTTTCTTAGATTCATCGTATCTACCGCAGCACTGGAGCTAGCTTTGCCAAAGCACAGCAGGAATTCGCAAATGGTATTCTCAGCAATGAGACTGTTCGCTCTGCGGCTAGTGATGCTGCAGCTGCAACTGTCCGTGCTCAGCTGTCTCAGGCATCTAGTCGTTATTAATTGACTGGCTCTTTTAGAATTCAGTATTCTTTAATATTTCATGAAGTTTTGAATTTATCTAACAATATATTTTATGTGCAACCTTGATTGATTGATTATTGTTGCTTTTCAAACTTAAGACCCCAGCCAATAAGTTGAAGTCCAGGTTGTACTGTCTTCTCCCCATCTAGTTTTCTGAATTTGTAACTTCCAATTTTCATTCCTGCTTGCTTCCGGACTAAATTTTCTTGACAAAGAAACAACCTGGTCTTAAATTATACAATCCTGGCATTTCTGATCATTGTAATAAGGGGAAAGTTATGACTCAAAATATAATTTCTGTACATTACATAAATTTTGTGATTTGCATCAGAAAATGGTAACCTTATATTATGTTTAAGTATGCTGGTATGAAAAGGGCAGTTTGTGCTGGAGCTTTAACTATTTCATAAACTTCTTTTAAGGCCTAATTGTTGGTAGGTCTTTATTGTGTTTAGGTCCCTTATCTTTCATCTGGAATATAATTATTGTTTTAAAATGTGATCAATTTTGCCTTGTGTCAAATGTTTACTGTTGAATCTGGTCAAGTTTAGTTGTTTAGACCATATAGTTTCTTTTTAAAAGTATATGCTGATAACAAGTTCTGTCTTGTTTGGTTTGTGATTAATGTGAAACATCTGTCATTGACTTGTTATTTCTTTGAGTTATGTATGTGATCAAATCTGACTAGTGCCATTGAAGGCAAAATTAAACTAATATAATTGTCTTACATTGGAGTGTAAGTCATGATGATCCATCTACAATTTGCATGTATTTTTTTTTTTTTTTTTGTATTTTAAGTACATGCACAGGGAAAAGATTGATCTCAAAAGATTTTAGTGCTCCAAGCATAACAATTAAAGTATGCATGTTGGGTGTGGATGATTTTTAATGGCTCATATTTTTATTAGAGAATAGCTTGGTTTTTAAAGAATCATCCCTCACACAGTGGCCCATAAATGTTTGTGATTATACATTATTCCATTTGTGCGAAGTTTGAGATCTATTATTAGTGTTATTTCAAGCTAACTAAATTGCCTCTTATGTTAGTTTGCTACAGTGTTGTACTTATCCTGGGAGAATTCTGGAAAATTTCAGATTCAAGTTAGTTTTTTTTCTTCATCAAAATTCAATGTAGGGATTTTTTATTTACTGCAGTTGCTTTTATTTTATTGCTTACTCCAATGTTTCCACATCTTGTATTATAAAACCTAAGTTGAAGATGTCCTAGTTATTCCAACTGTATTATACCTATTGATTATTCCTGTACCTTTTACATCAATGGCAACTGAGCTGTGCAGCTTGACTAAATTTTCTGTGGAAAATTAAGTTTAAAATGCTGACAGTGTAACCAAACTGTATTGTTTTCCTGTTAGGAAACTTTTACTACTAAATTCCATCCACTTATCTCTCATACTGATGTGATTAAAGGTAATATGTAAACTTTGTCTCCTTCCTAGTCAAATATCCATTTCCCCCAGTAAGGCTAAAAATTTTGAAAATGATTTTATCACAACAGACAAGTTAGAAGATTGAAGCCAGATTTTTTGCACGACCAGAGAGGGGTAAATAAAGACATACTACAGGTTTATTTTTTTAGCTTTATATTAATGTATGAGGAATCACTTGCGGGTGGCAACTGGTACACTCTGGTTTGATGATTTAGAATCCCTCATAGAAGCAGACCTCCTCCTCTTGATCTCTTCCTGGCGGCGGACCTTGGCTTCCTTCTGACGTTGAGCCAGCAATTTAGCGTAGTCTGCAGCCTGTTCCTTACGCTTCAGGCAACGCTTCTTCTTCAGAGCCAGCATGTGTCTCTTGCGCTACAAAAAGAAAAGTAAGAATATGAAGACACAATAGAAGATCAAAAGCAGGGGCAAAGCATCCGGGCATTTAACACATTACGTCTACACTGCAGTCTAAGATCACACTCCTCAAAGCACATGCAAGAGGGGAAGAGGAAGAGCATGACTTGAGGCTGGTCTGCCATTCCAGAATTGTATTGTAGCTGTTGCAATAACACAATGACTCAAATAAGTATTGTGTGGTAAGAAACAGCTTCTTATTTCCCATGCACAATGAACGCACTGAACACAACAGTGTAAAGCACTGCCTGAGCATGGCACATTGAAGAAACTAATGTAGCTGATGAAATAACATAACATTCTAGGATTAAGAAGTTATGGGGTAAGATACAGCAGTAATCTCCCACACACAATGAACGCACTAAATGCAAAGAGGGCATAGAGCACTGCCTGAATATGGGATTGAAGGACAGAACTAGCAACTTAAATTATGTGTAGCTGATAAAATAACACAACATTCTATGAAGAAGTCGTGTGGTAAGACACAGCCATAATTTTCCACACACATTGAACGCACTAGATGCCAAAAGAGCAAAAAGCACTGCCTGAGTATGGACATCCACTTAGTTAGACACCAACCTGGAGAGCAAGAGGGGTAATAAGACGCTGAATCTTGGGGGCCTTGAACCGCTGTTTCTTGCCTTCCTTCTGGGGCAGAGGTCTCTTAATGACATACTGTCGGACATCATCAAGCTTGGTCAAGTTGAAAAGCTTGCGGATCTTGCTGGCCCTCTTGGGTCCAAGACGACGAGGGATAGATTTATCTGTCAAGCCGGGAATTTCCTAAGGAAAAAAGTCAACCATAATTGAGTCTTGTAATTTCACAGCACAGCAAATTGCAGTAACAGATAAACAACTTGCCTGCTCTCCTTTGCGTACAACAACAAGGGACAGAACACTAAGATTGGAGTCTACAATACATCCACGGACAGACTTCCTTTTCCTCTCACCGTCACGGCGGGGACGGTAGCATGAATGACCCTTGGACAACAGAAGTCGCACACGGACTAAGAAGAGAACAAAATTATGAGTAATGAAACAGCTATCTTAGACACACTAATGAAATTGTGTATCTATCGTACACTGAGCAAGACTCACAGGAGACAACTCAAATCATCAATAGAAGTATTCTACCATGTTCCTGAACAGACCCCCAATAGAAAACTAGGGATCTTAATACGGCATGGAGCGTATGATAAGAAAGAGACCTACCATTAGAGAGGATACCCTGCTTCATGGGGAAACCTTGCTTGTCATTTCCTCCGGTGATGCGGACAACATAACCTTTCCACTCATCTCCAAGGAGGTCGGCTTCAACTTCAGCTCCCATGCGCTTTTCATAGAAGATGCGAAGTTTGTGCTCGTCCACAACTTCGAAAAGCTTCTGAGCCCCGGTGGCGGGGAAGGCTACGTTCAACTGGAAGGGAAAAATATCGAGAATTAAAAACAATTGCACAGTATAGCTTCAAAATAATGAACCAGATATAAAAGCGAAGGTAACGTTACGGTACGGACATAACCATGCTTTGTTTACAATACATTGCCGTGAAAACACTACTGTGCACAATGATTAACCATGAAAATACTGAATAGGATAGGCCTAGAGAAAAGTAAACCAAAGAAATGCGGTTCCCGTAGAACTGATAGTAAACAGCAGAACCGTTAAAAAATTAGACACATGCGATCTCAGTAGGCAATGCTGGCTGTTAATACCCGAAATGTACAGAAATTAGAGAATTGAAGACAAATGAAAAATAAAGAACAGAACTGTACAAAACAACGGATACAAATGAAAATTTCAAATAATTAGGAGCAATGAAAAGTGCACCAATGAAGCAACGAACCGAGAAGGTTAGAAATGCATGTTAATCCGCATAAAACTGTATCCATCGGTAAGTAAGTCCGAACATACATAACGTATACGTGAAATTCAGACTTCTAACAAGTAAATTAGAACAATATTTTAGATTAACAGAGCTATGGAAACAGCCTACCTTCATTTCAATTTAATAATATCCCGCAGCGCCACGAGCACAAATCGCCATAACCCTAATACAGGAAGAAAAGGACCGGCCACCGGAAACTTATCACAGCCTTCAAGAACTTTGTTATGGCTAAGAGGTGGCGTCGTTGTCACAGCCAGGTTTATGAAAATGGGGAATTTCGAACAAAATCAATTTTGTGAACTAACGCATTAAAATAGAAGGATAGTTGAAGTGAAATTCGAGGAATTTAAAAGTGACGCCTAAGTTTGTATGTAGGTGTATTCAAAAATGATAAAGACTAACGGAAAGGAACAGAAAAACATGGGCTTTTTGGGCGGCCAATTTCAAACGCGACGCGCGGCAGGACTACAGCTTCAGTGCTTCAGTGCAGTTAGGGAAGTAGTCAGGGAGTTATTGCGAGATGCGAAACGAGTTGTGAGTGAAAGGTACGAGTTAAGGGTAAGATTTGTGAGTTGCCAATTCCATTTTCTGCCATATTATTTCTTGCTATTGGAGTCAAGTGTTCTATTCATGTACGACGAAATATACTAACATGCAACTGGCAACAACTCGCAACTTCCAATGAACTACGTAATCCAGTCAAATAAACGCAAATAAGTTAAGCTCAACCAAATAAAAAAGCATATGATTAATTTTAGACCCAAGGGTGTGTACAGTTAAGCTCACGTGAGCTCACGCGTGAGTGAGTTCACGCGTGAGCTCGCTAGATCGTGTTCTTAAACACGGCAACATACAAACTTTAAGAAAGGGGGAAGCCTAGGGATCATTACTTTTTCGATACTCCGTTTGATTTGGGTGATTCCGGGGCGCAGGGCTGGAAATACCCCGCTGCAGGTCGCGGAGTTTCCGGACTCACTCACGCGTGAGCTCACGTGAGCTTAACTTTACACGCCCCAAGCGAAGCCAGCAGGGGAACCGAGGCACGTCCTTGGTCGGTAACGTACCCTACGTACCCCGGGTCCCGGGTAAGACATGCTCCGTGCCCTGGGGTATGATCCCCGAGTCTGGGGTACGTTGTCCCATGTCTGTGTAGCATGCATGCATGGGTTGCTTGCGGCCCACTATTTTAGCTAAAATTGGGTGTTTTGATAGCGGAAAATAAATGAGTGTCAAATTTTAACATATTTAGAATTTCACATTAGGTTAATATGAGTTGCCCCGGGGTGCGTTACGTACCGAACCACGTACAGAGAAGCTCGTATCAGGCAGAAGTATACTGTATTTGTCTGCCGTGCGACGCCGCCGGAATGCTAGGCAACCCATCCTACACCCGGCGCTGCCTGTTATCGTGGGGAGGGGGGAGGGATCTCATCATGTCGAGGATCCAGGAACCTGGTGCCCGGCTCCGTGTGTCCACAGCTCCAGTATCGTGTCGCTTCTGCTGTGGATGGCAGCACGCGACCGCAACAAAATGTGAACAATTGCAAATCTCTGTGTGAATGTTATCGATGCGAGATCATCGGCGCAGCCAAGGTTAACCACGTGCGAAATTTACCATGCTACTCAGACCGCCGCGAGCAGTTGGGCTGTGGACAATAATTGTGGGTAAGAAGAAATGCTATTACTTGACGACCAGGACTACATGCACCCAAGTAGCGAGCGATATGCTCTATACGGCTTTACATTTTTTCCAATTATCCGATTTGCGTGATTTCCCTGTGTGAACACTAAAACCTTTGATGCAACAACCCAAGGAGAACAGGATAGCCAAAATGACATCAAAATGACGTCAAATAGTCACGAAATAGTCACTATTTTGGCTCGAGGGATGTCACTAGGGACGTCAAAGACTCCGAAATGACTTGAAAGTGACAAACCTGTTCTCCTTGGGAATAACATCAAACAGCACAAAATGTGATTCCCACATTTTATTCCACGTGAGGGAGCGATAAAAAAATTATCGCACTAACTTGAAATTCATCTTTGCACCCAAACTATGCGATAATTTTTACACATTTTGCAGCGACAAAAATATTATTATTGCACTTTTTAAGTGTTTTTAAGCAAACATTATTCCATTTTATTACAACAGTTTTATCGCACATTTGAAGTTGTCATTATAGCAGTTGTCGTGCAACAGCTTTTTTTCGAAAAAGGCAATTTTGACACAATTTGATAATGAATAATACGCAATTCTGAAAAACGCAGTGAACGTTTTGTTTTCTTTTGGCCAGGTGTCAGTTTGCTGAACATAGCCAACTCTTTGCGACTCCAATTCGCTTTGCCAGGGTTCCAAGCGGATTTTTCCACCAGTTTTGGGCTCGGGCGCTCTACTTTCGGTAGTAACAGCAACAGCGCCGTCGCTGGCGGCAGCAGAGGCATCAGCAGCAGAAGTAGCAACAGCTACCATGACGAGAACTTCGGCCCTGCCGGTGAGACGCCACCGAGCGGCCCAGCTGCTTCAGGCTTGTTCGGGTCGGGATTCCTGGACCTGCCCAGCGCACCATGGGGATGGTCCGGCCCTTCAGCTCCGTCGTCTTCATTGTCGGGAGGCGCGACACTGCGCTCGGCGGACAGCGATGCGGGCGCGTTCGCCTCCTGGTCGCGGGCCGACATTCCCTTCGCCGGCAGCGCGGGCTTGGTGGGCCAAAACGACGGCATCGTGTTCACCTTGTTCACCAGGTTCGTAGAAGTACGGAGGGTTGCCTACCAATGACATTTCGATTAGCCACGTGCCGTGCCTGAGCAGGAAGTTGTTCCACCCACTCACACGCGGGTCATGAAGCGTACCCATAGTGGCGTGACGTCAAAATATACTGCCCATTGCGAGTCTGGCTGGAAGTGAGGGGGGGGGGGCTTAACGCTATGGTTCCCCCTTCTCTGGTCGGTCTCGAATGCCCCCTGAAAGTAGGCAAACATCCGCTAACGTCCCAGGAGGTAGCAGAGCCGCGCCTAGGAGGCGCATTTTTGGCGCATTGGTGCACCTTAAATGAGCTTAAAATGCGCAAGAAGTGCGGGCCTGGCTACCTGGGGTGACATTGCCGCGCGCTTGAGATGGGCCTACACAACCATCTATGTGGAGATGAAAACCACCGCTTTCCGGCTTGACAGCCTGACGCTATATGTTAAAAAGGAAAGGATTTCCCCCACGCAAGGACCGCTCGCTACGCCGTGATGAGCACATTTGATAAGCCAGGTGTGATGTTCTATTGCAGCGCGACCTAAGCTTAAACGCTGTCGTTATGCGATTGCAATCTTTGTTCGTGACGGAAAGTGAACAGGGCGTAAATCATTTTGGCCTCTCCCATCAAAACTACGCTGTCAGCTGAAGTGTTGAATAGTCCAGTCAGACTGACATGCATGAATTGATTTATCGACTTCACGCGTCCTGATGAGAAGACTCGAGTACGTCCGATCTCGCCTCTGTCGTATCGTAGATGTACGTGTGTAGTACGTAGTATACGAGGTGGCTCACTCACGCCGCGTACTTTCCTTGTTACACTGTACCGCATGCACGCGGACGGGTGGGTTGCCTACTCGCACGGGCCTTAAGGAGCCGTGGGCAGCGAGGATAGGCAAACCCGCCCGCACCCGTATGCAGCATGCGGTTCAGTATAACTACGAAAGTGCGCGGCGTGAGTCAACCGCCTGGTATGGCTCCGCCGACTTCCTTAATTGTCATTGCCCTAAGAGACACTCGATCAAACATTTATCGGGTATTTCTTGGTATGCGCCGGTGCCAGTGCGAAAGGGTTTACCTCCCTCTTCTCGTAAGGATTTGGTACAGAAAGTACGTCCGCTTTTCTCAGATTCGTTTCGCAAATTATAGGAGCTCGGCGCCTGCGAAAATAATGGTAGGCCGTCCAGCCGTGCACGAGTGCACGCGTGCACTGCAGGCAAAAGGTATTGCCTACCCATCAGGTGCCATGGAACGAGGCAGTTTCGTAACGGCTATGCTCCCTGAGGTGCCATGGCCGCTACAAACCCGCCCGCCCGGCGCCCGACGCGTGGCACGGACCACCCCGGTACCATCTTGTACATTGCGATACCGCAACAATGTAGTTTCCTGTTGCGCTCTTATTTTTGTGGACCACAATCCAGCCTCTTTATTTTAGGTGCAGTTGTAGGTAGCCTAACCCTAACCCTCTCCACTCCAGCTGACGCATTGAGCAAAACCCGGCGGTTTTCCATCCTATCAGTCGGAGTGGAGTAGGTTGCCTACCCCCCAAAAAATAAAGGCTATGCGTCACCGAATCTGATTTCATTGCTCCAGAAAGAGTTCTGGCCCAGAGCAAATCCTCCTCCGAGACGCTTCGAGCAGCCTCCAACAATCCACATACGACCCGAAAAAGAAAACTAAGATAATTACGCACGGCTACTCTTCAAACGCGAGACCCAAATCAGGTTCCGACCTCGTCAAGAATGGTGAGTTGGGCACCGATAGACGCGGTGAAACAAGGTGATGACCCATTCCCTTCCCTAACCGCTTCTGGCCATTCCATTCAGCATACCTGCAGGCCGCCGACGTGAACGTGATCCTGGTGGACTGGTCCGCCGTGGACTCGCACATCTACCCGCTGACGGTGGCGCGCTCGGTGCCCATGGCGGGCGCGGAGATCGCAGAGCTCATCAAGGCCCTGGTGCAGCAGCGGGGTGCGCGCGAGGACGACATGCACATCATCGGCCACAGCCTGGGGGCGCAGATTGCTGGCGTGGCGGGGAGCATCGCGCTGGGCCCGGCGGGCAAGGGCTGGATCACAGGTACGAACCTACCCACCAGGGGGAGGGGGTCATCCAGAAAGTACGTCCGTCATTCGCCGCCACTACATCGCCAAGCTCAGCCCGTGCGAGCTCTCATAGCGCCTTCAGCGCCTTACGGTAGGCAACATCTTGCTCACCGTGCATGCGTGTGCGGCGGTGTGGCCTAACAAGAGTCTCGCAGGCGCCGAGCTCCCGTAATTGAATCCGAGAAAAATGGACGTACTTTCTGAACGACCCCAGGGAGGGGGGCCTTTTGAGTCGTTTATTGACAAAGGGGTGGACGCAGGGCTGGACCCGGCCGGTCCCCTGTTCGAGGGGAAGGACCCGAGCCAGCGCCTCGACGAGACCGACGCGGGCTTCGTGGAGGCCATCCACACGGACGGCGGCTACCTGGGTGTCGTCCAGCCCGTGGGCCACGTCGACTACTACGTGGACGGCGGCATGCACAGGCACCCGGACTGCGGCCGCGACGTCCTAGGTAAGCGGGTCGAGCGGGTTGGGCACTGCCGGGCCGGGTCGGCTTCCTGCCCCGGGGGAATTCCCATTCGATACTTTGGCTATTCGCCGACAGGCAGTCGCCTTTCTTGCTCGCGCGCTGTCGACAGCAACATGACTTGAATGAAGGCGGTTTAATGGTCAGATGGAGGAGGAGACGCTTAATGTGGGAGAATAAATCCGGAGCCCGGCATCGAGCGAGCAGCGTCCGAAAACGATAGGTGAGGGTGAGAGTGAGACGCTCGAACCGTACCGAGTGCTATCCCTGTCACACTCACACTCGCCCGCCTCTCGTTTTTGGACGCATACCGAGCATCCAATCCGATGCTCGCTTGTTGCGGGGCTCTGATTAAATCTGCTTTAGACGGAAGATTACATGGGAAGAGGGGGGGAGTGGAAGGGATAGGTAGTATGGTAGTTTGGGGGGAGTGACAGGAGCGCCGGCAGCACCGGCAGCACCGTGCGAAAGTCCCCCCCCCCCCCCCCCCCCCGCTTGCCCCTCTCATACATAGTAACAAAAATAATAAAACAGCAAATTTCTGGCGAAGGTCATCAATAACAGAGAATACAGATAGAGGACCGGCTTCGCGAGAGGAAAAAAAATATCAGGGGGGTCAGTTGGGAAGTTGGGGAATTCTACTCGTGACTCGTACACACTACTTCCATGACTAGGAAAATTTCCTTTTAAGATGCCAGGCGGCGAAGGTTAACTCCTGTTTCTGCCGCTCCTAGGCTTGTGCTCACACTGCTTCGCGTTCGAGCTCCTCGCACACGCTATCGCCAACAACAACTCCATCGTGGGCGTCAAGTGCGATGGTCTGCCGCAGAGTGACTGTGGGGGCAACGAGAGGATCGCCCTGGGGATCAGTCCCAACACCAAGTAAGGGCTCCAATGACACAAAATGGACCTTTACCATATTCCTACTGACAGTCATATATTTTCTCCATGCAGGAGCCGGGGTTCCTTTCTTGTCGAGTCTGGCCTAAAACCAAGCAGTACCCTTCAGAATATCGGCAGAGGCCGAAGCTCAAGCATATTTTCCTCCATCCTCGATCGATTGATACAACCCCAAAGCGGAGCACCAGGCGGAGTCCAATGTTAATCCATTCAATGGAACCTGGAAGATCCCTATTGGAATTAATGGTCTCATCGAAGGCCGAAAATAGTCGCCGAATGAACAACATTTATGACTCTTATTAAATTAATGCAACATGTCAATTGGGAGGCTCGCGAGGACGTAACTTACGTGGAATTCTGCAAAATAAAAAAGTATTTAGTGATTCAAAATGATTTATTTACTACACATTGAGCCGGGAATCTGTAATAGCACATGGCTAGGAAATTTACTGATTGCGGGCTGTAAATAGCCTTCACATGCCCATTAGACTGAGACAAGCGCACGCGAGTCATTTACTGTCAACCCCAAGGCACATCAAAATAGCGTCATTTAGTCACCATTTTGGCTTATGAGGGACGTCATTGACATCGAAATGACTTTAGAGTGACCAACCTGTTCTCCTTGGGACACAGTGGACAGGAAATTTCAAGCAGCCCTGCGAGTAAATTTACCATGTGGGCCCCCCGGAGGGTCGCCCTTCATTTCCTGCCCACCCAGGATGTGGATTTCCCTACCGTGGCGGTAAGGGTGGGTCGTGCGGAGGTGATAGTGGTGGTGGTTCATTTTTGCGTGATGTTGAACAAAATTTTGTAAAACATTTCGGTCAAATGTGTTTCTGGCCCTCGTTCTGGCCTTCTACTTGGCGACCTCCCGTTCTCTTTCTCACCCAGTCCCACAGCACGCATGCGCTCACTGGCGCCTTACAGCTTCTTGCGGGTCAACAACCCGCCGTAACCCAGAGCGTACGGCACACACTCCTACTCAAACCGCGATTCGGATAATTGTGATATTATAAACCATCCCGGAGTGCGAGCCATGCCAAAGCAAGCACACAATTATGAAACATGAAGCTGGGCTAACATAGCGCCTGCAACGCGCTGGGTAGGCCAACCCGCCCGACAGCTGCGTGGAGCCGGTGGCCCATCCTGCGATCAGCTGCTGGGCGGGTTGGCCTACCCAGCGCGTTGCAGGGGCCCCTACCAAAAATATTGTCATCGGCAGCGTCGCCTTCGGGGAACGTTCATCTGACCATCGTGCACTGGTTGGGTGGAAGGGAAGGCATCCCAGCAGACGAATTCAAACAGCAAACCGGGGAACTTTTTCGTCACCAGCAATGTAATTCAAAAATAATAATACTTGGAACGTTTATTCATGAGAAATTAAGTATATTCTTTTCAGGAATAAAGCATCTCAGACCACTGCTCAAATTCCAATGACTATGCAGTGATCATTGTATTTATGCATAATATTATGAAAAAGAAAGACATAAATGTGTTTATACTTCTGCCATATAAAACTATGAACATTTACTTGTTCTTTAGTACAAATAAATCTTCCAGAATGAGTATCCAATCATTACATGAAATGACTAATACATTTACAAACATGATTTGAAGATAAATATAACAAATTACAGGGTTAAGTTCAGTCTTAGCACTTACTATTTCTTGTAAAGATTGTATACTCCTAACGTAAAGATAATTGAAGAATTAACATGATCACTGTCACATCCAACTACAATAGACATGCTATCGGCTGCTGGTATCTCTAGTCCGATAGAGTGCCCCTCGGCTCTTCATGTCACGTACTATTGTCCCAGGCAAGCGGCCAGCAACAGATATGGCATATATGCCTTTAGTAAATCGATCTGCAAAATGAGAGTAGAATACAATGCAATAGAATAAGGATGAGTTACACAATGGCTATAGCACAACAATGAGCAAAAACTTACTAATTCTTTGCCATTTTGCAACCCAACTGTCCTCTGGACTCATCAATGCTATCATCCTAAGTTGAGAAAAATATTAAAATAAATATTTGACCAAAATAAAATAAAATATGAAATTTTAGAGGTCTAGGAAGACCGCAAAGTAAGACCGATTACCCATCAAAGTTGTTGCTGGTACAGTCATAAACCTTTTCTCGGTCATTCTTCATGCGAAGGAATTCTTCGCAATTGTCACAACCATCACCTTCAAACTGATCAATGCTCTATGAAATAAAAACAAAAATTGTAAAGCAATATTACGTTGAACAAGTAACATCACTGACATAATTTTTAAAAAATTATTTCAACCTTAATTAAAGAGCAGTTCAAACAGGCCCGTAACTGCCGCAAATCTTTGGGAATACTGTCGAGAGACATCGCTCCAGGGAAAGAAAAGTTCTTCTTTTACTGCAACAAAACAAAAAGTACACTTGGAAACATTGATCTTTTGTAACGTTTCTCAGCATGCATCAGGGTGAAAATTTTAAAGTAGTTAAAATTTTTCAAGTACCTCACGAGAGTGCGTATATTATCCGCGTACGCAGCCGGTTAACCACATGAAAAATTACATTCATTCATTCATTCACTCAGTACTCACCGCAAGCAAGCACCACAGACCACACACCACACCACACCAGCTGGCAAAGGTGGTATTGGCAGGCAAAGAACGCTAATCGCAGTCGCAGTGTCATCGTCTGCTGACTGTCATCTGTCATATGTCTCCTGATCTGTCCTGATGCACCGTCACCCGCTTTCATTCCCAGGGTTATTATTTTTCCTTGTACTGTACGATGATAACTAGGATTTTATGCTTATCCAGAACTTGGAATAAGTAAGTTTAATATCGGTGTGAAAAATAGTGACGTTTAGTATGTATCTCATTTAATTTTAAACACTATGACATTGTAAAGTTCAGCGTTATCTGGTCACATGTAAACAGTAACAACCTCCTTTTTTATATTATTCTTTGCCTCCTTGTTTATCTCAGATGATAACGGGTGGTCTTTGATCAGCTCCGACGATATCTTGGTGTAAATGCACAAATGCACGCTAGTTCTGGCTGTTGAGCTCATTTTAAGACGAGACCTTGGTCAACTCCAGTAGCACCCAGTGGCATTTAGCACATATAGGTAACACATTTTCGGATCATTAAATGCGGTAATGCGCGTAAAAAGTGCAATAGGCACTACTGGGGAAAGATATTTGTTTTCCTACTGCTTTCCAATGTTTGTAATTAAGACTTTTTTTTTGGTGAACAGGACGACAATATGGCAACCAGTGGTCTTGTTGCAAGCCCTTATCCATCTGGCTTTCGGTACACCGTTGATAACTCTCTTCTCTCCCCTGACCAGCGAAAGTTTTATGATGAAAACGGATTCATTGTCATTCCCAAGCTTATTGGTGATGATCTTCTTGATGAGTGCAGGTAAATATGGCAACCTGTTGCTCTGTATTGATATTTTCTCACTGTACTAAATAAAGTTTACCATGATACGCCCAATAGGAAGAGATTTGTCGATATTTGTGAAGGGAAAGTTGATAGAGGTCTCATGACTCTGATGAAAGATGTATCACTTTCCAAAACTGGTGCTAAAGGTGAATATCTTTTCAACAAAGTTCAAGACATTGTGTGGGAAGATGTCTTCTCGAAGTATATTCTTCATCCGAAGGTGAGTGTAGTTTGACTTTTCTTGTCATATCTGTAGGATTATAAGTAATATTACTTAAAAGTAGAATACTTTAAAGTTATAAATTTACTGTTTTTGTCCAGCTTTTAGACTATGTGGAATGCTTCACTGGTCCATATATTACTGCTATTCACTCTATGCTTATCAACAAGCCACCAGATTCCGGAAAGATGACGTCAACTCATCCGCTTCATCAGGTAGACTACTGATCAGTATTGATTTTTAATCTAGCTAAGTAAATTTATTAATTTTAATATGACTTTCAGGATTTGCATTATTTTCCTTTTCGCCCAGCTGACCGTATTGTTGCTGCATGGACAGCTATGGAAGAAGTGACAGAGCAAAATGGTTGCTTGTTTGTGTTGCCTGGAACACATAAGGGTAGTCTCCAGAAGCATGACTATCCAAATTGGGAGGTTGGTGAATCAATTAATGCATCATAAATAACTAAATTAAATGCATTTCTATCTATTTTTTACCTGAACAGTGAACTATACAATTTACTATTTGTCTCAGGGAGGTGTTAATAAAGCATATCATGGTGTGCTAGGTCATGATGATTTTCCCAAAGTAATGTTGCCTATGCACAAAGGGGACACTGTGTTTTTCCATCCTCTTCTGATCCATGGCTCTGGTCCTAATTTGACAAAGGTATTTTGATGAAGTGATGTTGTACTATGATACATATCCCAATATCCATATTGCTATATGATTCCATACTTTCACCTCTTTCTCCAGGGATTTCGTAAGGCTATTTCTTGTCACTATGCATCATCCAATTGTTATTTCATTGATGTAAAGGGCACCACCCAGGAAAATATTGCCCAAGAGATTGAGGAAATATCCAAACGAAGAGGATTTGAGCTGAACTATCAGGTAGTAATACATGTCAAATTGAAGTGTGTTGTTGGCTGCTTGGTTTTCTTTAGAGCTTTATTAATCTGATATCATTCTATCTAGAGTATCTGGCAGAGTCGCAGCCGCTTAATTCGTGGCCCAGAGAGGTCATTTCAACTGTCTAAATTGTAGGTAATGCTCTATGCATGAACACTATTAGTGTAAGGAGATGTTATATTTGAGTTATTTTTTGTGTATTCTTGCCATTATTGATATTGTTGATGCAGCACAGGCTCGGTTTCATGGGGGGGGATCCTCCAAGTTCAGTTTTGAAATGGTTGACGTCAAATTAGTTTATATTTGGCTTTCAGTGGGGCCCCTGAAACTGGAAGGTAGGCAATTTGTGCTACAAACTCCCTTAATGTAGGCAACCGACAGGGCATTGCTCGCTCTGTCAGTTAGTTAAACCACACCCGGTGCAGAAGATTTCCAGACAATGTTTGTATAATACTTACTGCAAGCTAGTTTAATGTCACATGCATTTTTCTGTTATGGAACTTTTTTGTATTTCTAGTGGAATTGGGACCATTCCTTCCCTCTGTGATATTGTTAATACTTAGATGAAAAAGCTAATACTCCATTTTATTATAGTCTAATCCAATTGGTGGTTTGAGAACATGTATTAATTGAAGGTGGTTGTAAATAAATATCCTTATAATTGTCATATTGCTTTATTTTTTTATCTACTTTCAAGGAAGCCTTTAATTACTGTTATGAAGTTGTTATTTTACATAGATTTGAGTTTTTTCATATTTACAATAATTTTACTCATGCTTAAATGCACATTCTGATTCATCTAACAAACAGCCATCAGGATGATTTTCAAAAAACCAACAAGGTTTTGATTTTACCTTGATTTTACTTTTGTTGGTTATATCTGAAAGAAGAATTGGAGGACGAAACTGAACTTTTCCCTTTTCAACCAAGAAGATCTGGTGATGATTTTTCAGTAAGGTTTGCAAACCACCACATTCACTTTTCAACTTCTTCAGTCTCTCTGCTCCTATAAGTGGAATAATATCACCTAAACCAGCAACACCACCTGCATTCCATATTCTGCTAGGATTTGTAGGGTGGGACTGCATTCGACGTTTTACAAGTAGATGTTTAGCAGTCAGTGTAACAATCTCATTGATTAAAGTTTGATCAAGTTGAGTACAGTTTCTAACTTTTTCAATAGCTTCACGAGGCTTGAAGTCTGCCACCCACTCATTATCATTATTGCTACCATCATTTGATCTGTTTTCTTCTGGCTCTGTTTTCCTCCTGCACCCATCTTCAATTATTTGATTGATACCTGAGTTTATGGAAGTCCATTCTTGTAGATTGTATGTTCGATCTCTTCCTACCAGGCAAATCCTCTTAGTTGAGGGAATGCGCATTCTATCAATGTCAGTTTTGAAACCACACTTTTCTGAAATTTGCTTAACATACATTAGGAAGTCTGCATACTGGCTTACATGAGAATTCTTACGTCTATATTTGAGACCATCAAAGTCGTAAGGACAGCAAGGCAGGAGAAAGTATTTACAAGTTTGGGAACTACGAGCGGCAATAACTGGGAGCCATGGGGTAAGTTCATCAGAATGATTCCCTATCAACCACTCAGCATCAGGGAAGAGAGAGTTGTCCGAGGGTGTGATCGATCGAACCTGAAATGTACAGATACACATTTTATTCCCTCTATATGATTAAATGAGAATGTTGTCTGCTGGTTAAAAATTACAAAAATGAAACCTCTTACTTCAAGTTTTGTACTTTCTGGATAGATCTTCCATATTTTCCGACTGCGTAAATCAATGCCTACTCCTTTATGCCCTTCACTGTTGAGTATATGTACAAGTAGACCATTTCCACATCCCAATTCAACATATGATACAGGTTTTTGCTCCCCCCACAGAAGGAGAATATATGATGCTATTGCTACATCTTCGTAGACATATTTAGTAGGATCTGTGCACTCTGGCCAAATCTGAAAAAAAAGAAGAAAAAGGCTGTGAATGCTTAATAAAATGAAATAGGCGAAAATTGATTTAAAACAGATAAAAAATGTACAACTGCAGTGATACTTTCTTACCTTTACCATCTGTTGTCCATATTTTGCCTTCAAAGTTTGATAAAGTTCAACATATTTTTCTGCAGAGATCAACCCATGGGATTTGACAGGAAGAACAACATCAGAATTATCAGAATCATCATTATGGTCTCTATGAGAAGAGGCCCATTTTTGCAGTTGTGGTAGTAAATGAGATTTAAGCCACAGCACACTTGGGTCTGAAATGTCTTGGTCATGAAGTAATTCCAAGTTAATGTTTGCACTATCATAATGTAATCTGTATGGAAATTTTGGTACAAGGGACACTCCTTGAACCACAGGAAGACCAATGAAGAGCGCCCAGCCAGCACCGTGATCTGTAAAACCACGTGATCTTATTTACCTTGGTCGAGTAAACTTACATGTATACAAAAATCAGATATCTATGCGAGAGAAGAATATTACCTATTATAACCAATTCAAATGAAACTCCAAAATGTTTGCTACTCTTTGGCAAGAGCTTCTTTAAAGTTACATCAATTGAAAAACTACTCTCACTACAAACACCAGTCAATCCCAGCTCTTCCAACAAAATATGAAACTCATCTGAGGTAAATTTTGAGACATCCTTTGCATAATTTAGAGTATTGAAAATAAAATTATCCAATGTATAGCTATCTTGCAGCTTTCTATTCAACAAAGTTATAGAGCTATGAACTCTTTGATTGACAGATCTTGGGTTGTTACACCAAATGTCAACAGCCTTCAGAAACTGGTCTTTAGATACATCCTCTGAAACAGTTTCTATTACTTTCCAGGCTTTTACTTTGGTGGCCTCCATTACTACAACATACAATTTTTCAGACCAAATACTGTATATAACTAATCAGCAAAATTATGCCTTCTTTGAAGAATACTGAAACAAAAGAAATTAATAAAATGATTTACTAATCAGCAGTTATGTCAACGTTCAAATAGTAATCATTTTAAAAAAAAAAAACATACCTTTGACAAAATCCATTCAGCATCCCTCAAAGATTTTTCAATGATGTCTTGAACCCTTTGTTGGTCAGGTTCCTCAACATGTTGTAAGAAGCTCTATGAGAAGGGAAGGGAAAGAAAACGTTTTATGGCACTTGAGGTGTATGGCATTAGAATTAGGTAAATTTTTGACATCATTGACATCTGCTTTTTACCTGTTTCACAGCATTTTTGTAGTGTTTTTGAGCTTCTTTAGGCAGTTTCTCACAGTCGCGAAGCAGTCGCTTGTAAAGCTGTTTTGGTGTAATGCTTGATGCGTGTCGAAGGACAACTCCTGCAAATACCATATTGATGATAGGACACGTTGAAATTTGACCTTATATTAGACTGGAAAGTACTGAGATAAAAACAAACACAATTTCTGTAAATGTCAAACAACGATTTCCCGAAAAGAATTCCAAAACAGGAGGAAATTTCTAACCTCTTAAAAACCCTAGTTGAAGCAGAAACAGACATCATAGAAAATAGACAACCCACAAAAGAAAACTAGCACTAAAAAATATATTACACTACATCAACAACTTAAAATTGTTGAAATTATTGATAGTTCATGTCATTTTTTTTATCAAAATACAAAGAAACTTTTTAGCAGTCTGTTTAACAAATCTCAAAGTAAGTTCATTGTGTTTACTGGTGTTGGCTTGCTTGGCAACGCTTGGCGATGCCTGTTCTGAATCATGTAAAGAGCCCGCGACGAGCCTTGGGGGAAGGGGGTGAGATTGAAGGGGGTGGGGGGCAAAAGCTTTCTGCTTTCCCGCAGATCACTCAGTAAAGAGTAAAATGGCGGCGGATAACACGGGTGTTGCGGGTGCGAAAGGGAACGCGGAGGTGGTTCGCGGCCAAATTTTCGAGGTCGGACCGCGCTACACAAATTTGGCGTACATAGGAGAAGGGGCCTATGGCATGGTAGTGTGAGTATCAGCATCACCACAACAACTGGGTTTCGTATCACTGAACCGCTCCTCCAGCCCTCCCCCTCCCTCTGCTTTGACGCGCTTGTGTCCTGTTATTACTGCTTGACAATTTTATTTTACACGGTGGTGAAAGTGATAAAGTGAACACTTCCGCCCCACATAACCTGTAGTGATAGTGCAAAATTTTTGTTTGTTTTGGTGCCGAACAACGATCTGTAAACATTGATGTATGCTACCTTCTCTAACCTCAAAAACGCGGAGTGCCTTGGCACCCTGGCAAACATGTCACATATGATGTGCTGAGCAGCTCAAGTAAATAACGATTTCTTTGTCGTTTTTTTGAGTAATATTACTCGTTTCTTGCACTGCTGTTAATTTTAGAATCCACGGAATTTTAGTGATGTTTTTTTAATAATTTGTTTGTATTCATTTTCAAAGAATATGTTTTACTACCAGTTAGAGTTGTTTCCAAAAATTTCCAACAGTATTGTCTTTGAGTAGTTCTAAATACGATTAGTTGAAGAAAAATGTAAGTCCAGGTAGCAAATAACTAGATTTTCTAACTTTTCTACATCTGTGTAAGGTATGGATCAAAATGTTTTGACAGTTTTTGTAGAGTTAGCAGTGAGTTGCTGAACATTCCTTATTGAGATAAGATAGAGGTTGCCTTCTTATCAGGAAGTCCTGTTCGCATGCTAGCTTGTCAAACCTTACTGGTGGACTTAAAAATGGTCTTATTGGCATCTCCTGTCTAATTACCCAGTAAAGATAAAATTGTTTTTCATGGTCTTTGAAAGTGCATTTCGTGTCTTTCGTTGACACCCTAGTCCTGCCGGAAAGCCGGAAGATGATCAGCCGGCACCAATAATCTGTGTTCTTGTTTCTAGTCCTGGGAACAACGGCACTATTTTGAGATCGGGTTAGTAGAGTAAAAAGGAATTTAATTTAGATTTTTTTATGTCACAGTCAAAGTTTTTCTGAAAATCCAAAGCACAGTTTTTTTTGGGTGCGGCTGCTCCGCTCCGGCTACGAAGTCCTGGAGGCCCTGGAGGCTCGAGCCTTTGCGCCCCTTGCTCCGGACGGGTCCTCTTCCCCCGGCTGGCATCCGGTACGCCCCTCAGGGTCCTCCGGACCAGGCTCCGCCGGGCTCAGAGGACGCAGGCTCGGGTTTCAAGCCCAACTGCAGGGTGCTGCTGCGCTTGGGTCTCCTTTCGGAGAGGAAAAACGCCGTTTGGGGGGGGGGGGGGGGGGGGGGGGGGGGGGGGGGGGGGGGGGCGCTGTCTGGAGTAGGTGGAGAAGGTCAGGATGAAGCGAAGCGAAGGTGATTTCGCTGTGCGTAGAATATACCAAGTGTTTCGAGGGCAAATGCAGGTGGAGCGGAGGTAAAGTGGGGGCCGGGGGACGTGAGTAGTCATCTCGTCCTGGGAATTTCTTCTCCTTCACCTGCCGCCCCTGTCGATCGCGCTACAGCATGCAACGCGTTGACGACGAACCGAATCTTAACTTCAGTAAGAACAGTATCCTGTCGTCCTCGCCCTTTGTGCGGACACCTCTGTGCAGGACGCTATCGCTGTGCTCCTCCCAGGGCGTGTCGTGTCGCCCTTCCAGCCGAGTTGCCGCGTACAGAAAAAGGAAGAGAGAAAGAGAGAGTGAGAGAGAAAGGGGGGGGGCAAACTTCTCCCAGACGGCGACGCGGCGGCGCGGCGTTTCGTCGCACCCCTTCCCCCCTTTTTTTTCATTATGAATATACCCCATTGCTGACGGCTGGAGGCCTGATTTCAGAAGCGCCGGGGTCTAATATTTTCTCTTTACCCAACTCATTAATAATTTATTTGGTGGTTATCATCGTGCGGTGGACGATTTAATGAGGGGCAACTCGTTATGGCCCCGGCTCTACTTAGAGCGGCTGGGTTCGGATGCGCGTGCGCAGAGTGGAGCGCAAAAGGACCAAACAAAGCTCACCCCAGCGGGAGTTTTTAATTTTTTCGCTCTGTCCGGGGCCGCCGCGCTGCCCGCGGGTGTCTGGCCACGCCCGCCCGCCGCCCCGACCCACCCTCTGGTCGCAGGGCGAGTGTGACGTCACGGGGCATAATGCGTAGGGGAGGCATTAAGCCCCCCCCCCCCTTATCCCCCCTTTCCCCCAACGAATCCATTAACGGACTGCTGGACATCGGAATCGGACGTAGTATTTGTTTTGCGGCTCTCGGGCAAAGAGATGTCGAAATGTTTTCGGGTCGCCACTTTCAGGGCGTCCTAATCACGGTAAAAAATCTTTATTGTATTTCACGACCCGGTCTTGGATCTTATGCACTGTTAAAAATTAAAACAGTAAGTACAGGACGATCTGTCTGAATTCTGTTTCTGGGTACAGAATTTTTAAGTGTGGAGAACGCCAATGGCATCCACCCACGACCACCAGGTCTTGAAACACGAGAAACTATTTTTACCGTGAAAAGTACTGAGGGAGCAGTCTCCAGTTTTCACGAGTGGACTGTCTCCTAGCGCAGTTCTTTATTCGACCCGACAGTCGAGCCTCTAAAATCAAAGGTGAGGGAGGTGAGGAGCTCGGAGCGAAAAACTACCAGCGCGCCGTACGGCCGGACTACGGTCATAGTCGCATCAGATCGCGGCTCCTCGTCGTTACACGCCCGCCGCACCATGAGAGAATGAATGAACGAATCCCCTTTGTTTTAGATGGTTGACAGTAAAGTGGCAGAAAAAGAAAGAAAGACACGTTGAGAATTTTGTTTATTTAGAGAAAAAAAATGCCCTATTGATACTACTGTCAAAATTGCCAATATATTCGCGTTTTTTCTTCCAGTTCGATCGCCACGCTTATCCTCTGGGGAATGCCGTTCGGGTCAGGCCCGTGGCCGGCGCGCCGCGTCGGAACGCCAAGTATTAGCGGGGCCTCGTGCGACATTTAATGTGAGCCCCCCTCCGGGCCCCGGGAGAAAAATAATGGCCTCTCTGTCCGTGTTTCATATCCCCGGCCCTTTTGTCCTCGGGCACAAACCGCCACGGAAACTCGTCGAGAATTTGTGCCAACTTTGTTGGCCCCGCCGCCACGAGTGGGGTCCAGTCGGGTCGGGTCGGGGGTCCACGTGGCGGGGGTAGGGGTGGGGTGGGGCCTGCGATGTGCCGTGCTGCCGTCGTGCACCCCACCTCGAGGCATTATATACACTCCCAGGGTGCGGCCCCGCCCCGCCCCGCCCCTCCAGAACACGGCTCTGCCCTTCCACGTCGGGGTCTCAAAGCTGACATAATCCTTCGGGGCCGCGGCGGGGCGCCGCCGGCTTAAAGCATTTTCATCGTAAGCGCGAGTGCGGCGGTGGTGGCGGCGGTGGTGGTGGTGTGGTCCCGATAGGATAGAGGTAGGCCCGTAGGCCTCGCTGCTGCGGCCAGAAACACTGTTTAGAATTCGACCATTTTAAAGACCCCCCCCCCCCCTCACGTCACACCCACAAAAGCCATAGCTTCCGAATTTACGCATTTCGACCGCAATCTGCATTGTTCTGACGCCTATTGCGAATTTGGTTTTCATTGAAACTGGTACAAAATGAACCACCTGCACCGCTCGTATCTGGACCGTCGGTAGTTGGGCCTGGGCCCCCTTCAGGCAGACCCGCCACCTGGCGCCAGTCTCTTGTTCTAACATACGGGAAAGTACAACATTCGGCTCTGCAAGTAACAGCCGAGAGATTTCGGTTTTGTGGATGTAGGCTGTCGGGTGTGTGTCGGCTGCAAACTCACAACTGGTTGCCAGCTGCCGCCGCATACTGCGGGGTCCCAAACCCTTGCAGTCTTTGCGTTCAACGGCGGCCCCGGCCGAGTCCTCGTCGGCAACAAGTCCATACCGCAACAAGTCTCGGCCGGCGATCGTACCTCACTTAGTGTTCACAACCGCGACACCACGACACTCGACAGAGAGTGGGAGGAGGACTGCGTCGACGGCAGTGTGGGGTGCGGCCTAGGCCGCGTACCCCGTGCCCCCTCCTGGCCCAGTACGCCACCCCCAGCCGAGCCAGCTATGGTCCCCGCCCGCTCCCCGGGGAAGGCACCAGCCTACACCCAGGCCGTTGTACATGGGGCGTGCGCTCGGGGCGTTCGGTGGCCGGCTCTGCCCCACCCCGCCCCGCCCCGCCCCGCCGCTCCCCACCCCGCCCCGCCGCCCCGCGCCTGTCTTGCTCAGCCTACTGGATCGATGCCAGTCGTTGGCACGCCCGTTACTCTCGGCTGTTACACGCGGGGCAGGGTGGGGTGGTCGTTGCGTATGGTCTTTTGCCGCTGTGGTTTCCGGATTGGATTAGATCTGTACAGCGCCCTGTGCTTCTTTCTTTGATCTGATGGAGGGGCCGAAGGGGTGGGCTGTTGCGCGGGAGGAGGGGGCTCCTCCAAGGGTGTGGCAGTGACGAGCCGCTCTGCGGAACTGGGCTGAAATTCGACCCTTTCCGAGCGCCTTTTTCTCTCCCCGCTCTTCTCACCTCCGCCACCTCGCCACTTTTTGCTCTGTCGAAATGCACAATTCATTCAGTCCACCGAGAGAAAGGGAGTGAGGGGCAAAGGGAGAACCCAGGGCTTCGATACAGCGACCCTGCTGCGCAGCCTTGTCCTTTGTAGACGTTTTAACCCCCAGTGTCCCGCGGCTCTGCTGCCTCTGTGCTCCGCGAGGCCAAAGGGCTCTTATTTTAGATTTCTCATCAAGTTATCCCCCCACCCCCCTCTCTCTCTCCCCCAACCCTCCCCTGGCACCCGGAGCTAGGCAATGGCGCTGCGCTGCGAAACTCAGACTTGGAATGTAAAATGCAGCAGGATGAGGGGCGCGTACCCGGGCCGCGCCTACAGTCACCGTGCCCCCTGCCCCCTGCCCCCTCAGTTTCTTACGCCCCCTTTCCCCGCTGGCGGGCTGCGGGCGGCGGAGGGTCAGGCCGCCAGGTGGACGATTCTCATCCATTACCCAAGAGTTTTGTTGAGAGTTCCCGACTTTAAATCCTGCGGGCTTACCTTTGGCAGGCTCCTAGCCCAGCCCCATCACACCTCTCCGCTTCCATCTGGCTCTGACTCGCCGAACAACACGAAGGATTAATAGATTCGAGTGCGCCAGACTAAAAGTTTGATGAAAGAAATTGTTGCTCTCCCCTTGCGCCTCGCCCCCGCGTGGTGGGGTGTGATGATCCCGATCCACGCAGGTCGGGTCACCGAACCCCCCTGTGGCTTCTCGAGTGTCTCCGTCCCGTCCGTCCGCGGAACTTGATTAAAAAGTTGTGCGCGCGGTGGGGCGGCCCGCTGCGGGGCGGCGACCCTCGGCCCCAGCAACAGGTCAGCCTTCAGCTCCAGCTTCAGCTCCAGCTTCAGCTCCAGCTTCAGCTCCAGCTTCAGCTCCAGCTTCAGCTCCAGCTTCAGCTTCAGCTCCAGCTTCAGCTCCAGCTTCAGCTCCAGCTTCAGCTCCAGCTTCAGCTCCAGCTTCAGCTCCAGCTTCAGCTCCAGCGGCCTCATTGCACGGCTGTAATTACATCCTGTGCTTCGCTTTGAAAGGGTGCTTACCTCGCCAACCCTTGTTGTGTAAGCAGTCCAAACGCACTCGTGTTCTCCGAGCTGTGTGTACACCAAACAGACAAATTTAACCATCCTTTCGTCTTAGAGACTGTTGGCGTTGCCCCCCCCCCCTTTTCCCCCGAATTCTGACCATCAGACCAAATTTGCCTCTTTCTTCGCCTTTCCTTATTTGGGGCTCCAGTTTGAACAAGGACTGCGTGACGGCGGAAGGTTTTGAAATCGCTAAACTTTGCATGTTTTTCTCAGCCCGCGGAAGTTCCGCATAAAATGTTGTCGGATACATAATTTTTTAACATGTTTGTGAATGTCACGTTGAAATATGGTTCAAAAGTAGTCAAAACCGTGTGGATGTAACGTGAATCCTGGGCGTCGAAACCACGCTTGAATCCTCGTTGAATCCCCGCCCTTCCACCAAAATTCTGCCAAACTCAATTTTTGTTGTTTTTGAGCCATACTCGATGAGATCAGGGACATGGCGCGACATCCTAATCCTCAACACTGTCTATACTTTTCCTGTAGATTTCGTTTCTGTCGTCTGCGGCTTGTCGGTGCGTTTTGCCGCCACGCTGCGCAGAAGGCCTGAAAAAAATATTTGTTGTTGATGTCGCCGCATGACCGCAAAAAAGGCTGACTTGTATAAGTCCCTCCTTCCTAGGCGGGCCGTTTTGTCCGAGGTGTCCCCACCGCGTGGTCTAAATCTCCTTTCATCCTCGACTCGCTCGACTCTCACTCACCCCCCCCCCCCCCCTTTCCCTCTACCTTTTCGGCGCTGCCGTCCCTTCCTATCCTGCACTGCCGCGGCGGCCTGCCTTTGCAGCTCGTCTACCTTGCTCTCCCTCTCTCCCTCTCTCGCTCTGTCGCACACTTAACCCAAAGTAAACTTGCTGCTCTCCTTCCTCCCGCCCTCCCCTCTCTGGGGTCGTCATAGTCAACGCCGGGAGAGGCTGCTGCTCTGTTAGCATTGGCGCTGCCGCACCGCTCGCTTTGTGTGGACAGCGCCCTCCTTCCCCATGGCCCCTCTATCCCTGGCAGTTGATTTACCCTCCCTCCCCCCTTTGTCTTTGGTCACCTGCTACCCCCATGCTCTCCCATCCGTCGTTCAACCTGTTCAGCGCAAAAAGGTCTCCTCTCCCTCATGGATTGCTCCCCGTTAAGTCGCGAGGCGGCGAGCAGGGTGGCTGGGCTGCAGCAAAAGCGCCGCTGCTATTTTGGTTGCAGCAGTATGGATGTGAGGGGGAGAGGGGGCATCAGATCAGCGGCGCCTGACGGGGCGCGGCGGGGCGCGGCGAGGTTGAGTGAGCCCGGGTGGTGTGTGCGACTCGCGCTCGCCAACCAGGGAGCAACCGAGGGGTTTTGTTTAGAATGGGAGGGAACTCGTGTCGGCAAGGTCGGGACGGGGAGGGAAGTGTGCTGTGTACTGTGCGTTAATTCAAATCGATAACATTCTTCCTCGTAGCAACACGCAGAGTGCGACGGGACACCGTTCATTTCTCATGCGAAGCTGGCGTTGTCACACAGCTTTCGTCTCGAAAAGTTTCTGATTGTATCTGACGACCCACGGAGTTCACTTTGAGTATGACCAAGCACTGGACCACCGTAGACCACCGTAGATCAGGGGGTCCAGCGCCGGCCGGCGAGTCTTTGATTGTATACGCGCGGTGTTTGTAGTGAGACACCTGGTTGGTGAAAACCGCGTGTCCGCGAAACGGTCTTGCACCTGTCCTGTACCCGCCCCGGGCGTGGCGAGGCGTGGCGGGGCGTGGCGGGGCGTGGCGGTACCGCAGGTCGATGTGGGTGTGACGGGTGGCTCACAGAAGCGCAGTGCCACTGCGGACCCCGCCCCCCGCAGTACTGCTCACTGCTGCACAGTGTTTTTCTCGTCACTTCTTGTTCCTGCAAACCCACAGAAAATTGTTTTCTTAAATTGAAGATTAAAAGAATTTTTTTCCTTATTTGAGGATAAGGAAAATTTTATACCTCACTTCAAAGGAGATTGTCGGATTTAATGAAAAGGAAACAATGCCTTAAGATAGGCAAGTTCTTCATTGTATGACTTTGTTCCCTTTGCTTGAAAGAATTTTTGAATCTAGGAAACACTTTCCTTACTTCCTTTTTTGGCTGACTCTCTGGGTGCAGCGGGGGTCTTCATCTCTCACACCAGATTGCCGTGTATTCTCCCTCCCTCTCCCAACGGCTCTATTTTCCTATAGCTTTCTCTTTGTTTTCCACCCGCGCGCCGTATTGATTGTGCGCGCTGCCGCCGCCGCCCCGGGCCAGATCGCGTCGTTCGTTCTCGAGCTTCGTTATGTTTGTCATGACCTCGAATGAGATTAATTACATCTCTGCCAGCGCCCGTCAGTCGTCCCAGCCTCTGCTTCCTCCCAGTTCCGCCCCCTCCCCTCCCCTCCTGCTTACCAGCAGAGCTTCCCGTGGATTATCTGCGACATGGGGCCTAAGCCTCGGCCCCACTGGGTTTGCGATATCGGCTCCATGTCTGCGGCTGCTATGGAGACCACCCACGGTAACCCCCCCCCCCCCCTTTTCCCCTTCCAGCCCCTCCCTCCCATTTCATTTCAAACTTTATTATTTAACTTGGAGATCCCGATACTTAATGAAACGCTCCACTCTCGGTGTCCCTCGTGGCCTGGTAGTCCCGGCTGACCTTTATCTCGCCTTTATCAAACGATTAGCGGGTCGATCCTTTTTCAATTTTCTCTAATCAGTTCCCTGCTTTCAGGGGTGTGCAACGACGTAAAGAACTCTTTATAAAAGTTATAAATTGCCATAAGAAACAATCTATTTCATTAAATAATCGGTTTGAGACAGATTCAGCAACAGTAAGTAACATCACTGTAAAAACGATAGAATGACGTAGCCCAACTTTTCATTTGAGTGTTTAACTCCAGTCTGCCAAAAGTTTTACTCTTTATTCAACTTAAACGGTGAAACATCACGTCATGGGGCACTTCTGTGTCAAATTATGAACTTCTGCCTGCTTTTCCACTAAAAAATTACAACATCAACAGGAGCGCTTATGGGCACTCGACTGAAACTTTACTTGTGTGCGCTGCTTAATCTAGTGAAGAGCCCTTCGGCCCCCCTCCCTACTTGGTCCCGTATGATTTTCCAGTGCTCTCCGACTCCGACTTTGCCGACGACTCCCCGCCTCGCATCCTGGCCCGCCGCCGCGCCGCTCAACTTCTGTCTAAAACAATAATGTTGTTACCCAGGTCCTCTCAGGGCCCCTGCTAGCACTGCTGCTGGCCCTGCTGGCCGTTCCCTAGATGCGGTGAACCTGGACCTGGTGGAAGGGAAAACTATCACTAAAATAACTTTTTCTTCTCTCAAGGCTTAGTGTATCACTGGAACTGTTGTTTTTCCCACAAAAATTGCGATAAAATGTTACCACATTTATGTGAGAACTTTCTCTCTTGCAGGGATCGTCCAGAAAGTATGTCCAATTTTTTTAAGGCTCATTCGGCAAAGTACGGAAGCTCGGCGCCTGCGACACTCGGGATAGGCCACCCCGTGGTACATGCATGCACTGCACGCACAGAAGAATTTGCCTGCCTACCAGGCGCTATGTGAGTTTGCACAAGCTGAACTCGTCAGTTTCGTCACGGCGAATGACGGACGTACTTTCTGGATGATCCCGTATACTTTTCAGTACATGTTTTCTTTTTTCCAAATAAAAGAACTTTATCATTTGTCCGGAAAAGAAGAAACGGATAAACCGAAGTTATGACAAATAGGGTTCTTTACCTATCCGCGTTTTCTTTCTTTCACTGTTGAACAGAAAGTGAGAACTTCACGAAGAATTCGTTGTAAAAAAATTGCCAGAACTCTTTGTGAAATCACAACTCTTCTTCGTTGTCCATAATTGATTGACTTAAGGAAATGCACTATTTTTCACTTCAAAGAAGTGTTGTGATTTCACAGTAATTGCTCTTCTTATCGTAAAAGTGCTGGTAAATCACAAAAACATTTTTAACAGTGTTCATTCCATGGAGAGTAGCAGCCAAGCCTCGCTTGCTGCCATGAGGCACGCCCCGTCCGCCACCCACAGCACACGTATCTCCTCCCCCCCCCCCTTTCCTCTCCCGGAGATGCTCACTGACTCTCCCCATCACGCATGTCGTGGCGGCAAAAGGTCTCGCTGCCTCTCCCGGCCCGCCTTCTCTCCCGATATGCCCGTGCGCTCGCTCCGCCGCACTGCTGCATTAATCATCAGCACTCTGCGCACTGTTGCCCCTCACCGGGTTCATCGTCAATGTTCACGGAATGTTGTTGTGCGGACCCGCCTCACTCATAATTCAGCGAAATTAAAAGGCGCCAGCGTGTGGTTAAATAATGATGCGGGCCAGGCGACCCCCCCCCCCCCCCCCCTGCTGGAGCCGTCCCCCGCAGCAGCCGCCGCGCACCACCGTGCGATCTGTTTTCGAAGCGCGCCGGAAAATGAAACAAAAACACCCACCGGGTTGGTGTGCGGCTGCTGGGCCGGGCCTGGCCGGGGTGGGCGCGCGCTGTGCTACTGCTGTTCTCCCCCCGCCGTGCATGTGTAAGCGGCGCCCTGTTTGCCTACCTTTCGCTCCTGGGCTTATTCTCGGGG